GAACGCGCACCCTTTAGTGGTGTCTTATGTATGCTTGCGTTTAACGATCACCTTATGTTTGCTTCCTTATGAGGCAATCATTCTTCTTTCGCTCTTTTTCTTTTGTCTTTCAACTCTTCCCTTCTCCTTTAGCGAGATAACGAATACAACTTCACCTCCTTGTCCCTTTCGTAACATTGACCAATTGCAGTGAAACTGCTATAGTCATTACCATTCACCATTACCATCCCGCCCCCTGCGATAGGTTCGTTTGGGAAGCTTACGGATACGTTCATCACACATCATCCTCATCCAACCTAGGCACCTCATGACCAACCTTTCGCTTCACCGTTTGCCGGGCTTCCGTTAACAATAGGGTACACAACCATTTCAACATTCGATGATATATATCCTATCCTCCATTTCAACAGTGATTTTAACAACGAAATTAAAGGCAGTGAGATACACACCAATTTGTTCTCGGTTGGGGGGTAGGGTATCATACTTCAATCGATGACATGGAAGCCATGCTCGAGTCAGCAAATCACCATCATGAAAATCCAACTGATACTGTGGACCAACTCACCAAAGGTGTTTCATCAAAGCTACTCTATGAGTAAGCAATCTCCGGGGATTATCCTGTTATCTCCATGTTTTACCTTTGTTTTAGATGTAAACCGACTTAACCAATGGTCTAGGATCTCTGCTACAGCACTCAAACATACGTAGATTGGCGGTAACCCCGAGGAAAGTAATAAGCCGTTCCTCCAACCAGAAGCTACAATACTCGAATTGTTCTAGTTTCTGGTTCTCTGCGGTTTTCTAAAATTAGTGACCTAATAGAATCCCTATCGGCGAACAGCATGTTTCTTCCCACGATACTGATATTTTGGTGGAGAGGAGGGCTCGGCTTAGTTGACCTCTTTCATTTTCGCATGGTAATTATGCTCGGCCTCGGGGCCAGTGCCAACTCTTGGGAAGCACAGAAACAACACTACCAATATCATCCCATAGTAAGGCCCGCTCCCACGTGGGTTTTCCTGTTGTTACCCTAACTGGGCCTGATCCTCATTTCTCTCTGGGCAATACTGTACTTATTTCAGAAAATTAATAGGGTGCACGTCAAAATAAAGAGAGTGGGGCGGAATGCCGTGTTTTAAGGAATTCCCGTTAGAAGACCAGTTAAAAGGCCCCAAGTCACCTTGAGCCACCTCTTTGTCCCACAGATATATGCGCCTAAGTTAGAGACAAAAGACGAGTCTTTGTCACTCCGGCCTCTTTTCTACCCCAATGCTTAGATAAACCATACCGTTATCGAGTGCATCGATTTGTATACCACACATTATCGGTTTTAGCTTTCGCAACATATATCTTGCCCTACTGCGGGAGTTTCTACAGTCAAGTCAACCTCCTTGGTGATCACGTATAACCCGGCAGAGCTTTAATTGAATAACTCGGGAGTACACTACGATGATAATTAAACCAAATCAACTTGTTTCGACCGATCAGATAGAGCGAGCAGGAATTTGGAATGTATGATAGCTTGAATTCAAAGCCTTGCCTCCCTAAGGCGAGATACCATCATAGCTATGAATAGCAAGGGCATGGACACTGTCCAATAGGTTAAACCTCCGGACCCATAGAAAACATTTACAGAAATTTCCGCTTTGATGTTAAGCTGTTAAAAGTGCCCATTGCTGGAATCTCGTCAACAGCGACACTACACTCCCCCGTTCCCGTCGAGACGGGAACCGTATCAGACTTCCACACCTACCCCTACGGGCCATTGATATGGGTTTCAAAATAATGGCAACGACACCGATACAGACCCCCTGTGGTTCGTTGTGCTCAGTTGTCCTTGGATACAGAGCCTATCCCATTGGAGCACTTTCTTACGATGCCGGGCTCCCAATATCGAACCGAATGTCTTCCTCTCAGTTCTCCTCTTCCGTGCCCAATTCACTAAATTTACCGGTATTCTATTCTGGAAGCAGTGCACCAGAACCCCTAATCCACGTCTGAACTACCCCGACACCCCCCGATCCGAGAGCCGTGCCGATCCCTAGGAAAAATAGTACTCGTAGCGACGTGATAGGGGAAAGCCCAAAACTAGTGAATCTCATCTCTCTCTTCCGGTTATCTTGGATGAGTAACTTGGCTAGGGGTCAGGTGATCTTTGTACCAAAAGATGCCGGAAACTGATGGCATGCGTGGTTGTGATGGGTTGACAGTATGCTGTCCTTGCAGTGCTGTAAGTACTGTACTCGTACATATGAACTTCCTTGTCAATGGTTATTAGGAGGTAAGACATGGCTGGGAAGAGGTCAAAGCCTGAGAGCAGGGGAATGCAGCAAATGACAGCATTATGATACGAGTACAGTACAGCATGGAAGAGATCTACAAAGCAGGAGATGCTTGCATATCATACAAAAACTCTCTCTCTCTCTCGCCGGTGTGCCGTAAGAGCCCTTGGAACCCACGCGCTTCCGCCAGCCCTGTCATCTCCGGTTTTCCGAGAGGAAGGCTCCCGAGGAGGAATAGCATTTCCCGGCGCGGTGTGGTGTCAGCCTGCTGGTGCGTGCTGTGTACCCCATTAGCCGATATTCGCAATTCTGTTAACATGTCAAACTAAACCTACCTACCTTGTTCTGACGGGATGATTTCCGCTGATACCGTAGAGTACGGTAGTACCTGTGCTAGCTAGTGTGCAGGACCCACACCTTTTGGGGGCTGTCAGCTGTCAGCATGCTGTGTCCCGAATTTTCAAAAAAAAAAAAAAAAAAAAAGTGAATTTTTGTCAGCGTCAGCTCACCCTGTCCCTCCATAAGTTACTGGTCCTGTCAGCGTCAATATAGTTTGACCAGTTCTTGGCATTTTTTCTCTACTTCTCTGCCCACCCCTTATATCATACTCGAAATAAAAACACTCCTGTTATGCTGTGTTCCGGAATATGAGGTCCATCCTGTTACTTGTATACTATACTTTATTATGAGTACAGTATCTGCTCCACCTACAACATTATATACTCAATTCCCATGTACTAGTACTGTACTCCACTCGGACTAAGTATGGTCACAAGCATGACCTGAATAAGAAAGGCTACGAGTTGCACGAATGGTCCGATTACCATCATAAAAATAGCAATCGATATATATCATAAATGCGAGATATTGTCTGGTTCAAGATTTAAATGAAAAATCGCAAAAACCTAAAAGGCCTTTTCTGAAACGGAAATCAACTTCCATTCCCTGCCCCCATCGCACAGTACTTTCACTCCAACACGGACTATCCCATGTACTGTACACACCGACCCAAAACTTTCCATCAGCAATTCGTGCCCGTCCCGGACGATATAGGCGATACAGTAATCCGAAGGCTGATTTCGCGAATTTTTACGGGTGAGTGATCGGTAGTGATGAATGGAGACATATAATCAACACACATCAGATATTCGAAAAACGTGCAAGAATTATGATTTACATCAAGTTGCGCATTTCGCATTGCACCATTTTTCCCCTGCCGCCCCCAACCGAACCTCTCTTTCTAGAGAAAAAGGAGTCATGCAACATATCGAGACAAAACAGAGACACTCCCCCCCCCCCTTCCTTAGTGAATCAGCCACAGCATGATTTCTCTCGTTTTCGTTCATTCAATTATCGCCGCTCTCTCTCCTTCTGTCCTTTCCCGACCTCTGCTCAGTCGGCTTCGGGAAATCCCATCCGCCCGCCAGCTACAGTAGCCCCCTCGAGTGGGGTGATAGCGACGTCATGGGGGGCTCTAAGACAGGCGCGCCATGTTCCCACAATGGAAATATTTTGGTGGAGATTTTTCCGTTCTGCTAGCAAATTATCGTAAGATAGCGAGGGGGAAATTTTCAATCTAGCCGATTGGCCTGTGAAAAGAGAAGTAGAAAAAAAAAAAAAAAGAAAAAGTTGCTCCAACGAAGTGCACGGGCAAGATGCGAAATAACCGCTGCGGTGTGCGCCGCAATAGGTTACTGGTAATCTACCTCAACTAGAAATATCACCGAGAGGTGTACTGTACTGTACATCATACATGATAGGATAATTCCTTAAGTCTTCCGTACATTATACAGGTAACTCGTACAAGCTCGCTCTTCACGCACGTTTAAGGCGTTTGCGAGCGTGTCGGGAAATGGCCACAATGTCTCGGAACTACTGCCCCCTCCCCTCGAATGGACGACTTCACTGGGATTCGCGAAAACGTCGGAGAATTCGGGAATCTGCCCGTTCGAAGGCGCCAAATGTACTGTACTGTACTTGTATTATCGATTGTGTGGTAGGAGATTTTGCAGGACGAAGGTTTCGCTTACTCGCTTTTTCCGAGCCTCCACCTCCCGGAAGTTATGCGGATGCGGCTCAACGATCCCGCTCCAGAGCTTAAAGTGTGAGTGATAGCACATGATGGTTGGAAGTTATCATTACTCAAACTCGTGGGAATAGCAATCCCCTCCCCCCCGAGTAGAGCAGAGAAAAAATTTAGAGGTTGTCTCTGTGGAGGTTGTTGGCTTCTTTCTTTAGACACCATAACAACCCCTAGGTTCTCCTACCCTCCTCCTCCCCCACTTCCTCGAAGGGATGCATTGGAATACACGCGGCCTGGGAGCATATTCTGAGGCGAATATAGCCTCAATCCTTGAAGTTGCTTCTCAACACCTGATCTTCCAAATGACTACGTCTTTTTTTGCTCTTTTCTGAAGGTGTGATGCAGGACGCACTCAGACTGAAGATAGGCTAGATTTCCCCGGAAGGGCAACAACGCGGTACCGGTACTGGCATCCTAAAAAGTTGGGGAGTTTTTTTTTTTTTTTTCTTCTTACTCAGGGTAAAGTTATGCAAATGGGTCGGGATAATTTTTTCAAGGTATCAGATTGGAAGCCCAAAGATTAAACCGACTAGTATGAGGCTTCAAAATCTGTCGTTTTCAATTAGGTACATACAGAGGCAGCAGGGCTTCTTAAAAAGTACAGGAAAGAGGAAAAAAAAAAAAAAAAAAAAAAAGATATATCAACCGCTCTTTGAATCCCAAGACTCCAACCCTTCCATTCTTTCATTCATTCCAAATCTTCCCGTAAGAAATCTATAACTCCCAAACCCTCCTAGGCCTCTCCTCCTTCGTTTCCTGACCCAGTAGTCGGTCTTGACTGCTGCCCGTGGGACTCTGCTGCTCGTTTTTGGGCACAGGCTCCGGCGTCTCCTTCGGGTATTGCTCGCCCTCCCCGTCGGATTCCGGGTCTCCAGGAGCTGATGTCAAGTCAATTTCTCATTCCCAAGCGCCAGCGACGAACACCTTACCCTTCGACGACGATGGTCCATCACCTCCGGCCTTTTGCTTCTGAGCCCTCCTCCGGATCCCCTTGTCCCTGTTCCTCCAGCTCTGCTGCCCGGCGTCTCGTATCAAACGGTCCAACTGATCGGGGTCTAAATGTTTCCCTCGTCTAATCATTGCGTAGAATTTATCCGAAATCTCGTTCCTGGTGCCTTGGTCCACGTTTATCCAACGTTTCCCAGGAACCTCCCAATAGTCTCGGTACACGGCCTGCGAAAGGGAAAAAGGGAAAGAAAGGACGCTTCTCTCAGCAAGTGGAAAAGGAGGGAGAAGAGGTGGAAGAGGGTGGGGGGGGGGAAAGGCTCTATTCTCAGAGCTCAACTCACCTGGATATCCGTAGACGTGACGCCGCTACCGATAAAAGTTGCGAGCTCGTCAAAGGCATTAGCTGCTTTCTTTCTCTCCGCCATTTGGTATGTTGTGGTGCCGACGAGGTGCGGGGCGTAAAAAGCTCTGAAAGCCGAGCTGCAGTCACACAAAGCTGGCCACCAGAGGAGAGAAGTGTTATGGGAAAATCTGCATGTCTCACACCGACAGACGAACTCACAGGATCATCATTTGTTCTCAGAAGTATCAGAATGATGATAAGTACGCCGCTGTTGCACATATATATTGCCAGGCGCTATAGGGTAGGTAGTCCACGGTCTTTTTGTGATATTACTTTGTACCCGTGTCACTTTGGTATTATTTTTTGTGTCAAGCTAAACCCACCTTATTTCGCAACCCGTACAACTCTACGGCACCGTAAAAAGCTAAGGTAAAGGTACCGAGAATGTGTATGGAAGGGACTGAACGAACGGCATGACACCGGAACCCTCCCGTACCTTCGATTCCCGCTAGAAGGGGAAAGAAAGGGAGAGAAAATCACTGAAAAAGAAAAACTTCCACTATCTGGCCTAACTCACAACTACCCACCTCAGTCCAGCAAGGCGGTGTCAGACCCCCCCCCCTCCACCCCCTCCCTTCCCAAATCCTCCGAGCAGAAGGAAGAAGAAGAGGAAGAAGAAGAAGAAGAAGAAGAATATCCCTTGTCACGGCCTTCACCCATAGCCCTTTCACCGGTGTATAAAGCAATAACTTACGATCTAACCCCAGACGGGCAAATTTGGTCATCGGGAGACGTTTTAAAAGTGAAGGATTGGGATATAGAGTTAAAAAAGCAAAAAAACAAGGTGTTGTGAGAAAAGAAAGTAATTATTTTCATATCTGTAATTCCCATTGATGGTAAATAATAGTAAATAATAATAATAATAGTAATAAACTAATAAACTTCCCAGGAGGATACCAGTAGAACTACAAAGTAAAACTGTAAATAGCGTGCAAGTACAGGTTATCCAAGGTATCATAATTAACTTTAGTGCGAATATACCTGTAATATATGAAAACGTAGTTTAGCTAAAGAGATCAATTCATGCAGTACGAGTACTCGTACAGTAGCAGCCCACCCATCCATCCACCCCCGGCCCCAGGCCCCATCCCTCCCTCCCTCCCCTCCCCTCCCAGGTGAAACACCATCGTTCTGGAAATTCGAAAATCAATCTAATTCGTTCTCGTAGCAGGAAAAAGGAAAGTATCCTAAAACAGGGGTCACGGATTCGTTCGTTATTATGGATACAAAGTACCTTTCAGATGGGGCACGGATTTTTGAACCCATATATATTTCCGCGAATCCCTGTGTTTTTTCGGGTAACTTCCTGTATGCTATCATACCAGTTAAAAAAAAAAAAAAAAAAAAAAAAAAAAGTTCTAGAAATTGGTTTCCGGCGCGAAGTCCTGATCCCGTAAGATTTGAACACAGGGCAAATCGTTGATTGATTGCTACGGACGAGAGAGCGAGAGGGACGAGGGAGGAAGGAATATCCTTTTCTTTCTCTTCTCAGACGAGGGAGAGTACAGCGCAAAGAAGAAGAAAAGAAAGAAAAAGAAAAAGAAAAAGAAAAAAAAATAAGGGAAAGAGATGATGTCTAAATATTTTTCGAACGGAACATTTTGGCGGAAATTTTACTCAAAGTGCGGTATCTGAAGGGAAGGCAAGTATCATATCATACCTGACAGGATATAACACCACGGGATATTACCAAGCGTAGCACAGTAGCCTAACTTCGGGAAATAGCTACCATATCAATCGCTAAATTGCCACTCTACTGTGTGCTCAATGGCAAATACAGTATGATACAGCGGAAATTTTTTTTAAACATGAGCAAAGTTGCCACTACGCAGACACACAGCTTCCATATAAATCTACGAAACGCTAGCGTGGAGAAATTCCAGAAACAGAACCACACTCCACATCAACTATCTGCTTTCGTTTAGTTTAGTCTAGTTTAGTCTGCCCATTTACATACAGCTATACTCGAGTACAGTACTCGTACGGAACCCATGCTATGAGGAAGGAAGGCCATGAGGGCGGGAAGGAGTGCCACGGACATCCGAAAGTAAGGGGCATGGGGGAAACATATGATACCACACCTTACGCACGTTAGAAAAAACGTCTTTTATAGACCTTTATTGGGACTATCATGCCCTTTCCAACTTAACTTAGCTTAACTTACCATTTCATGCCATACCGTTAGGACAAACGATTACAACTAGGCTCCTAGGTGTACGGTGGCACCCGCCCGCAAGCCAGCCTGCCGAGCTGAGCCTGATAAGCTTGGCCAAATAATTGGCTAACCAGGTTAAATAAACGCTTTCCCGGGTCGAACATTTCTTCTTTTTTTTTTTTCAACCGATCAGTCCATATTTTGCGGTCCGTGTGCGGGAGAATATTAATTCGCATGCGGTACGAGAGAGCGAGATGTTAAGTTACGGTGCTGAACATAAACCGAGAACGAATAATAGATATCGTTGCTGAGTTGAGTTTAGTTAGTGGGCGGGCCGGAAGCTTGCTGGCTAGGGCTTCTGTTCGGTAGCGGATACCCGGCGCGCCTGCTCCCGAATTGGGGTCGGAAGTAGCGGTTGTTGATTGGACGGGACTCTTGGTGTTAGTGACCGGTATGAGGCAATTTTCCTTTAAGCAGCGTGGCATGCCGTTAGCAGGCATGTACAGTATCGTAACCTGAGTCGAGGTGAAAGGGGGATAATCGATGATGTGGTACTGTACAGGGGATGTGTGGTGGTGGGAAAAAGAAAGGAAGATTGTACCCGTAATGGGGATTTCTTGATTTTCTTGCCTTCCCTCTCTGCTTAAGAGACCTCAGGAAAACCAGCGGTGGCGGCGAGCTTTAGGTAATGACATTCCCATCGTATATCACCGCATCGTGGCCAATTAAGGAGTTACGAGCTTGTAGAGGCTTGAGTGGGATTCGTGATCTTTACCCAAGGTACCCCAAGAGTCCATATTTGTCCGGTTTTAAGTTTCAGTAAGACAATTGCATTCTCGGTGCATTTCTGAGTCCGTCTCGTGACCACATGGTTTTCGGGGGCAAATAGTTTCTTAGTTCCTTCCAAGTTCCGCAAAGGTCATCCGCACTCTCCAGCTCAGCGCATTCGCTTCCTTCAACAGAGAGACACCCGGCATCGGGTTACAGTAATTCACGGAGTCTGGGCGAGTCGCGATTTCCGATTTGCCACCCCAGCCGCAATTCTCACCGCAATCTCGCCCCATTTCGTCGGCAAGCGAAGCTTCCCGGCAGGTGCTGAACGATTCCTGCCAGCGTGAGCCATCGATGGCCGTACAAGTGTATTCATGTTCTTCTAGCAGATAACAGCGCTCCGTAGGGGGGGACCCTGTACGGTGACGCCGCCGAACTCCATACCAGGTATCTCCGATTACTTCTCATCCGCCATAGGAGCACGAATGGAATTGACCACCTCAGGGTTAACAAATTCCTACGATGGCGGGGATAAGGCCACGCATGAACATATACGCATCAGGGCGACATCCACTACCGGTCGTTTGTGTGGGCACTTCCTTCTCATTCCCCAAGGGGTCAAAATGTTTCAGCTTATCGCGTTGAGGGCGGAGAAAGCGGAGGCAAGTAAAGGGTCCAAAGGGCTCTTGTCAAGATCGTGAATGCAGCATTTGCTATCCAGGAAGACTGACCAATGGCCAACTCATGGTGGTCCCAGCGCAAGCCCTCCGCCACTTTAATTGGACGAGGCAATGAACCCCGGTCGAAGAATATGTATCATCCTTCCGCCTGCCATCCAACCAGGATAATCGAGTATGCTTATGAAGCGAACGTGCCAGTCGAAGTTCGATACTGCTTCTACGGTGTAATTATCGTACCCCAACATTTCGACCCCGCAAGCTTCCGCACATGCGAGCTTTGCGTGGGTCGGCAGGTTCGCCGGGATTAATTTAATACCGGCGGTTGGGGTGAATTGATGATATTACACCCCGAAGGTGCCCCCATGGCGAACGAGCGCAGCGATCGCCGACATCTAGGTAACCCTCAGGAGAAGTGTTGTTGGTCCGTGTGGGCCAGGGAAGAGGTAATGTCCTCCACACTGCATTAGTAAGATAGTAAGTCGGGATCGAGAGGCCTGATATGGGATGACTGGCTATTCCATACCCGCACCGTGCTTGAGCAAGCCGCTGCTTGTTATCTAACAAGAGTGTGGGAATAGCGTTCTCGGACAGCCTTGTTATCGATAATACCGGTATTCAGCATGGCATGCAGTACCGGTCGAATGAGCCAAGCTTACTCAGAAGTTACGGGTGCGTTGTGGTCGCTCTCGGCTTTCGAAAGTGCTGAAATCGCGAAATACAATTTGTACCGCACCGTGCAGCTGTAGTTATTCCGGGTTAGCATAATCCATGCTGCACGAATGAGGGCAGCACAATACTGTAGTCATCTATCGTCTATCTGGTTGACGCGGATAAAAGCCCAGAAATATGCTTTTTCGGTGATCATCACCACCTACCTGCATTAGGCAAACCAATTTAATAAAACGATAATAAAAATAATAAAAATAATATTAAGAAGGAAATTATGTCGGCACCTGGCTTGGATATCTATTTTTGTTTCTATTCTTATTTTTTAGCACCAATCGTTGAAAGTGCCCGTGGTGTTGTAATGTCCCATTGTCTGAAAGTGCTTTCATTATGAGATTTTGTAAAAATAAAAAAGAGGTTTTTTCTATTTTTCTGTGTTTTTTATGTTTTTTTTGGTTTTTTTGGTTTTTTTATTTTAAACTGAGCCCGTGATCGAAGTTTAGTTCTTAGGTTTCGGCGTCGACCAGACAGAGCAAAATAGAGTTTTGCTGCAAACCTGAACTGCTGAAACCTTTGAAATTTCTTGCCGCCCCTGTCATCGCGCTTGGTAAGCAATACTTTTGTTGTGTTGGCTACCAGAGAGCTTCGCAGCTGTGCATACCTCCAGGACGTGCTCGTTATCATGAGTATGCATACCCCGAGAGAACAATAGCGGTATGAGAACTCTACAACAGTAACCCAAAGCACCCGATGTCTCGGACCATGACAGGGGTGGCAAAGAAATTTTTCAAAGTTTCAGCAGCCCAAGAGATAATCAGGGTCAAACGGAGGTTTCGCGTAGCAACCAGACGCGCCCTAAAATATCTGTAGAGTTCTGACCGTAATCCCTGCGGAAGTCGCGCTACTAACACCATTTCGTCGAATCCCATGCTTGAGGCCAGATCAAGAATCCGCGGTCTTAACCAACCCTTTTCCACGACCCAGGGGCTCCCCAACTGACATGAACGCCCTGTTGCTCGTGCGTGCATGCATGCATGCATGCAGTCCTATCTTGAAGCGCCAAGTAAAAAGGAAAAAAGCAAGTATAACACATAAAAGAATTGCATAATATTTCTATGAGCTCTGATACCGTACAGTACAGCACCATAACCATAACGATCGGCAGAGAAATTAAATCTGGAGACAGAAAGAAAACCGGCAATCATCGGGATGGTTCATGGTCGAAACTTTTAAGACCTCGACAATCTAGGAACAAAAGGTTTTTTAAGCTCCGGAATAGTCATAGATGTGTTAGTGAATACTTTTCAATCTTAGGAATCGTGATATGGCGGAGAAACAGCCATTCCATTGACCCAACTTGAGCGGAAACTTACCTTATAAAAACTTACTTCATGATCGCGCGCTCCCAACCTGAGGCGAACCGCTTAATTGCGAATTTTCAATCCACATCTCACATCCAATAGCCCAAGATCGGTCCCACTGCAGTATACTCGAGCAGGGAAAACGGGTATTCCTTCACCCTGCCACCCAGCAAGCAGAGTGGGCTCACACCAAGAGGTACGGTGTGTTGCTTCCTATCAAAGCACCCTGGCTGGGAACCCACCGGATACCTTGGATGAGGTTAATCGTACTCGTGTTGAAGGAACTGAGCTCATTCTGGGTTGACCGCGCCCGCAGGAAGGTATATGATGCACTACCGCGCTGTCTGCAAGATATGAGAAATTCTAATTGCCTCTGCCACGATTGCAGTCCCAAACAGGCTGAGAAAGGTCATCTGACATCACGCGGCACGTGGAGATCTCCGTTTTCACGGGGTACTCCTAGATCTTAAGTAGGCTGACTTACCGATTATAAATAGGGAAGATCGCTTTCCTGAAAAGCGTAGACTGGTTTCGATCCACGCATGAAGTTTGATTATTTCCCGCCGTGATGTTTTCCGATAGCCATGGCGTCCAGCGAGAGCCTTGAATCCCTAAGGCTACCCACTAGGGTATCTCTTAATATGGAACTCTATAGTGCGTTGGCTAGGGGTAGTGAAATGACCCGGGTAGGGTGTCGAGTCCCATCGCGTTCTGTTCATCGCGGTTGGTGTCCACAACTACAACAGATATTAGATCGTGAATTGTACTCAAGTACTGAGGTTTTCATCACACCCTCAATTCCCAGTAAACTTCTGGCACGTAAGTTCGGCTACGTCATCCGCGGCGACCCTCCAATTCCCTTGCTTGGAACCGCTCGTAACTCTGGCCAATTATTTCGACCTTTGAAAACCAAAACAGAGCTCCGTTCAAATCATCTACGGTCACTCGCTTTTTCACCACGATATTTTTAAGGGACACACATAAGCCCTAATACAAATTTTCTCTAAGAGAGTAGGTCTTTTTCTGGGAAAGATTAGCCTTGAGCGTTCCCATAAGGAAGGAAATGAGTCAAGCCTTGATGATCGCCCGTGTTTTTTTGTTGATGTCGCGGTCTCCATTTCGATGGACAGCGCTGCGTAGCATTCTTCATACACGGAAATGGTCCGGCTGACAGATGCAGGAGGTGCGGAATTATCACGACATTTAGACCCTAAAATGCCCCATCCTAGCTGCTGCATGATAAGTATCAATTTAGTGCAAATGTCTAGCGAATCTATAATGGTACACTACTCGTACCTAGCTTGAGTTTGAATGTGGGTGAAATTGGACATGGATAGTATTGATGTCATTTATGAGATCCCGGGAATTTATTGATGCATGACACCTATCATACCTAGTCGGAGCTGGAGCTTTTATCTGGAGTAATAAGGAGATTGAGTCTTTCTTCTAAGAGACGACGCATTCTTTTGCTTGCAGGGCTTACCCTAGACCCCCTGCTACAACCCGGGACCAAGAGTGGCCAAGGCATGTCCAATACCAATGGCATGAGATAACTTTAATTGGGATTATAAGTTAATCACTGCCCCATATGATACCGGTATCTTCGAAGTCGAAAACCACCTTCCATCAAATGGTCGGAATCCGGTGTACTTACCGTTGCTGCATCCATTTGTATCCTCACATGAGTTAGTAGTCTAGCTGCCGATCTCTGATTTCTACCCAGCTCACTGATTTCACAGTAACTCCTGCTATCATTCCAAGCAGAGGGCCACCTGGTATGTCAGCGCTTCGGAAGCGGTTGTGATTCTGGGGGGTCCAAACCTCTTCGACGTAGTATGGTATGATAAATGTATGATATGATAGCGGGGTAAAAGGTAATGGAGGGAGGAGAAAGGGCTTGGGAAAGCCTCGGCTCGGGGATAATGGGAAACCAAGGGTTTTATTTCATTGTATTCTAAATGGAAACACGATGACATGGGGTCCTGGGGGATGATAACGCGGCCTCGGTTGACACGTGAGTGAATAGATCGTAAGCACACGGAAACCATACGGCATGAAAGATACTATGCGACATCGATCGGAATGTTCTACGCGAAGTATGCTTCAGGAGTGACGATCCATGATTGTAGTTCAAGGTATGAATGTTTTGTGGGAAAGTCGGCGAGTGCCCTTGAAGAGAATAGTAGATTCGGTATCATAGCGGAGATTCTTTTTTTATATATTGCCTAGCGGCTTGAGATTACCTTTGTAGCATTTATCACTCTGATTTGGCCCATTTAGTTATTGTAGCGAGGGGGTGCGGAACCTTAGAAAAAACGATAAAATTATACTGTTTGCAACTTTTCGGATATAGTCTATTCGCCAGCGCCACGCTTCCAGCCAGAAATGCCAAAGGCATGATATAAGTACAAACGCGCTACCACATGGGGCATAAGGAGCAGATAGTATCAAGGAAAGTATGCAGTCGATACCAAGCGAGCAAGGGCGGGGGAGACAAAAGGAAACTGGAAGAAGTGAGCCACCAATGCAATTTTCGATTGATACATAGCCAATTCTATGCCTTACTACCAAGCCTTCGGCCTCTGGTCATGCCCTCCTTGCAGTCGCTACAGTACCATTTTGCTATCACACCTGAGTCAGCATAGATTCTGGGAGAACGATATCAAGCTAGGATAGGGTTGGATGTACTTTTGCCCCTGGGCGCCTGGGAGAGCCCTACGCAGGCAAGATGGAACCACTCCCTTGGACAATTCTCTCCATCACAGGCTACCATTTCGCCGTATGAGATTTGTTGGCAGTAGCAATAGACTGGCTCATCCTCATCGGCATCTTCCTCTGCATCTGCATCCGCATCGTCTTCTGCTGCTGGTGGCTCTTCTTCTGGTTCCTCTACTTTCAATTTGGCACTGCTCATAGCAGCAGCAGAAGAATCGGCACGTTTGCGCTGCTGTCGTTTGTTAGATGAGGGGGTTTGTGCGGCGGCAGTTGGGACACCGTCTGATGTTGATGGGCGAGCCTTGACAGATGAAGATGATGGCGCTTGGTGAGACTTGTTCTTCTCTTCGGTAACTGTCGGGGGAGCAGAAGATGGGACATTATCGTGGTCATCATGGGCGACTCGTTTGCGCTTCTTTTCTTTCTCGCCAGCCTCCGAATGCCTCCTCTCTGAGTCTTTTCTCGGTAATTCCTCCGGGCAGGACCCCTCTGTTATATCTGCTCCGGCGGCTTCCTTCTTCTTGTTGGGCTTCTCCGAGGGCTCGCTAACCATGGAACTGTTCTTTGACGCCCCCAACTCTGCCGGTGGGAACATGGGGGGCTTTTCGCTCGTACCTGACATGGTGACATCCTCACTAGCAACATCTTTCACATCCTCCGCGGGCTTCCCGGCAAGGGCAAGAGTATCTGGGGTAGATATGGTAAGTTTACCTTCTTTACCTGGGGCACCCCCGAAAGCCCGCTTGCTCTCATCCTTACCAATCCCCTTCTCGACTTCCTTCTCCTTGTCTTTGTCTTTATCCTTATCCTTATCCTTATCCTTTTTTCCAGCCTTGCTACCACTGAATGGTTTGGCGGGTTCGGGAGGTCGGGGGAATAAGTTGTTATCGAGTTGTTTGTCTGAGGTCTTCCCGGTCGTGGTTGAAGTAACTTCTTTCCCTAACCCCGCAGATGTGGGGAAGACTGAGTGGGTTGGTGAGGATGCAAGGTTAGGCGATGCTGCAGGGCCTCCCGGGTGCCTACTAAAACCAGACCGTCAGCCGCTCATCCCATTACGGAACATCCCGTCGCTTAATGGGGCGCGATTAAAGAGAAAAAAGATTTCAAACATCAGACAATATGCGATAGGGAAGAAGGGAACAAAACAACTATTGACCAAGAAATATAAAACTTCCACGAAGATCCAAATAAAAATGACAAAAACCAGGCTGACATAAGGGAGGTCAAAAGTGAGGCTGAGGTCCGTGCGCGTTCTTGAAGAGCCACCCCTTAAACACTATAAAAGCTTGCCTTGGCCCCCGTTTAAATTATACAGAAGAAAAGAACCCCTCCGAGACGCCCTAACAACAGCCATAACTCCCTAACATAAGCATAATAATACATGAACTATGGATTAGATGCAAGCCTGGCGGGGGGGATCGCATGCTTCAGTTTGGAAGAAGATAAAGAAAGCCCTGAAACAACTCCGGGTACTGCCTGGCTACCGAACCATAGAGTACATATAAGGGAGAATACAGCAAATAGAAAGGAAATAAGTGAGAAATGAGAAAATAATTACCTTCGCCCTCCCCTACCCCCACCGGTTGCAGTACCTGACTTGCCCCCCCTCTTGCTTCCAGCGGATGGCGTCCCTATCCTGGGACTAGACATAGCTTTGATCGCCGGTTCCACAGTGGGTGGCTTATCACCCGCTATTGCGTTTGGAGCCGTAGCTGGGCCTGGCCCTTCCTTTGTATTATTATTATTGGTAGTTTTCCGCCGCTTTGGTTGCTGCGGAGGTACCGCGGGACTAGACGCTGGAACCATCCCACCAGTTCCAGTCGCGGATTGATGTTCTGCCATACGCTTTGCCGAGGCCAAAGCTTCTTGCTCTTTCCTAATCTTAGAGTTACCATGAAGCTTCTTGACAGGCTGAGTTTGTTGACTGTTTTGCTCCCGTGTGGATTGTTCCTCTTCATCATTTAGAGCGGCGGCGGCAGCGGCGGCAGCGGCAGCGGCTTTCTGTCTTGCAAGTGCTTCGCGCCTTGTTTCTGAACGAGTATTAGAGGTTTCTATCTCTCGTTGTTGTTGTTGATTATGCCGTTCCTCCGCCTCCTTCTGTGCCTTCTCAGCAGCTCTAGCCTGTGCCGCAAGTGTACCCTTCTTGACTGGATCCTTGTATGCCCAATGCTCTGTGCTTCCCAGGCGATACGTGCCTGGTATTTCCATCTGTACATACCCGAAGGTATGCTCGATTCGCTGAAGGTGCTTTTGCAACGCCTCATTCGCAGTAGTGATGACGTGAATTTTCTCATCCTGGGTCTTGAGCAGATCTGCGATCTGCGCCCGTATCTGTGCACATCTGGCTCGCCGCGTCTCTGGGTGCCCAAGGATTGTTTTTGACCCTGGACCCTCGCTGGCCTGCGTCGTCTCTAGATGGTGAAGTGTCTCCAACTGCCCTGCATCAGCAGTGAAGTCATCTCTTCGCTGTTGTAGTCCCTCAAGGGTCTTTAACGCCTCGATTGCAGGGTCAACCTCGTACGGGTCTTCGGGGGGCGGTAGCGACTGGGCGGACTCAATCAACGCTCGGAGGTTTGTTTCTGGCCCACAAGCTTTCGCATCAACTTCGCGGAGTAGTGTGAAATGTCGTATCGTCTCGGATGGTAAGGCATCTATTGCGTCGGTAAATTGTGAAAGGGCGGGGTAGAATTTCGCCGGAGGCGCGTTTGAGGGTGTGCTCTGGCCGTTCACTCCGTTTGTTGTCCCTCGGCCTAGTTTGGAGTTCGAGGCATTCTTCCGAGTAGTGCGGGCTTGACGCATAGGCTGCCTGCGCGATGTGGACGGGGGTCCAGCGGTTGTTGGAGCTGAAGGAATAGCTGGTTTAGATGCCATGGTGACGTTTGTTTATGAATCGCTGGCGAGGATAGTCTAGGGGACCTGGCGACGGCGTGAGTGGGTAGCCGAGATCAGTGGTTCACCAAATAGACAGAGCGAGATAATATCTCGATATCTTATACGGAGGTTTCGGGGGAGAGCTGGCGGTGATCGAAACTGTGGGAAACAGGGCGTGGGAGGTTTAGGAAACACATCGGCATTACGAGACTAGGAGCGAGTTATGAGGAACGAAGTTACCCGGCCGCCAAGATATTTTCAGACAGAGCCGCACTGCTCAAACTACTACGATACCAGTCTTTTTATCACTCAAGCAGTGGGAATAAACTAAAAAAGTAAAAAAAGTAAAAACTATAGAAGAAACCAGGAATTACTTACTTGGAGCCTGCTAGTGTTTTCCTAAATTCCCAACCAATTTTTTAGGATGGACAGAAGTTTTTTAGTGACTTTCTTGGGGTTCTTGGCGCCGAAATACTCGTACAGAAAAGCAGACCAACACACAGAGAGGGCTTGTTTAGCACACCACGATTCGGGATAGCAACCTGGAGCCAATCACCATACGCAAAAAAGGATTATGCAAGCAGGCTTTGGGTTTCCGTATTAGCCAGTTAAAAATCGCTATCTCATATCAATTCGAGATGGCGGACAGCTCAAATCATGGCGTGCCAAACTCGCCCTTAACAATCAACTGCATTTATTTTTCGAATTTTTTCTCACGGTTTTATGATGGGCCAAAGGGAAGGTGATTCTGTGGAAGGACCTTATAGTACCCCCTCGATGACATATTTCCAGGCCGATGGTATCTGAGAGGTTTTGTCCCAGGGGCATGGCACAGTACGAGTATTTAAAAGGTTCCCAAGTACCGGTATTATACCGGTACCGTACGGGAAGATGTTCTCCTGCGAGGCGAGGATTATTTTGCTACTAACTGTCCCTGTCTTGTGCCCGAGTGCGGAAACATCCTCTCGGGTATGATACTTGTACAAGGTATTGCCTTATCACAACCTGTTGGGGCTCTCATGGGCGGTTTGTGTCGTGCTGCATTGTAGTACAAACATCGTACCCAATAAGCTGGGGAACACCTGAATTGGTCATTGGTTGCACTCCCCCGAAACTAGGTTTGTAATTCAGTTGATTATAAATGTCCAGCAGGAACAACTGAACATAAAAAAATGGATGTGTCAGCCAACATTGAGCTTAAATTTTGCTGCGCTGTTTAGGGACGCGCGATATCTTGGGTGCTACCAGAGTTCTGAGGTGTCGTAAGTATTTAAAGCGCCATTTACTCCGCTCCTTCATTAGATTTTCAGTTGATCTTCCTTAAGGAACTCAACACATCTGATCTTTTCTTTAGTAACTTACCTCACTAAAACGCATTCTTCTTAGCCATGCAAAACGCAATCACTGAGCCCTACAAATATCATTCTAGTGGTCGACCTCTAAACGTCGATATCGCCCTCCCACCAAAACATTCTCCGAGTAAGAAATACCAAACACTCATATGCTATCACGGGGGCGGTCTTGTCTGCGGTAGTCGGCACACATATATCCCCCTCTACCTGGCAAGCAAGCTTCGCAAGCTGGGTTGGATCATTATTTTTCCGGACTATCAACTCCTGCCTGAAGCTACTGGTTGGGACATCCGACAAGACGTGATTGACCTTGAACAATGGATTTTGAAGGAGCAGGCCACATGGGGAATTGACGTTGATAAGATTGCCCTGAGTGGGACGAGCGCTGGTGAACAACTCAGTCTTAGAACATCTGCCCTTCGATAATGATATTAACATTTGTTAGGTGGGTACCTCGGTGCCCTTACCGCTGTTACATGGAAAACCATCAAACCACAAGCTTTCACTAGTGTTTACGGAATGGTGGATATTACCAGCGACTGGTATAGCGCAAAGAAACAACCAGGGCTCACTGTCATGGGAGTTCCAGTCGACACGATCAAAGAGGAAAATTATCAGAAACTCTACGAAAACGACCGGGAAGTTGTCTGGGATGACCGCGTGACCAAAGACGATAGATCGCTGATATTCTTGTTGTTTATCCGAGAAGGTAAACTTTGGTCTTCCCCTGGTAGTTCCTTGAGTGCACTAGCTTATCAATCGTCACAGGGATCTACCCGAAAATGATTTACGGTCGCTTACCGGGAAAGAATAACGGCGAGGGCTTGGACGATTCATATCTTCAGCCATTGAACCGCATTGACTCCTCATTCCCGAGAACAATTGCTATACACGGGGATCAAGACTCAGCCGTAAAGGTCTCAGACTCCTATAACCTCGTCGACAGGGTTCGCAAGGCTGGAATAAAAAGCGAGATTCATGTTATTAAAGGTGCGGAACACGGGCTTATGCCTGAAGCTATGCATGATCAGGAGTGGAACTATGTAGTGGAATTTTTACAGAGAGCTACAGAGACCCAGGGTTGACTTGGTAAGCTTATAGAATTGCTGAAGAGGTGGGAATATATTGGGCTCCACTGTTTCGTGTTCTTTCGAAAGCTTTATATATCGTGTAATTAGATATTTCGGCGATCTCCCTCCCAACAAATGACCCTTAGTCCGTATTACTGTCCCTCGATCTCAATACCGCGCAAGTTGTCCTCCTGCTGAAGATTCCCATAGGATTCTACCCCGCAATTGAAAAAGTGTTTTCGAGTGCTAAGTTTTATGTTGATCTGTCAGTTTTATATTATGATATAATAATATTATTATGCAAAAAGGAGTTAGATAGACTGGGGTCTTCTGGATAAATAGGTTTCAACCCCGGGGCTGAATACCTCTGGTGTATCATACTTGAGTAAGAATTGAAAGTTGGGACGGAGCTACATGAGTGCCGTACTAAACTACCACTCCCCCCTGGGTGACCCGCCTTACGGAAAATTAGTCTATCCTTGAGGCATTGCGTTTCAGCGCAGGAGATTGGAGCCTGTGTTATCGCCTGATCGTAACCATGTAGAGCTAGTGGCGAGCCCCCAATTCGGATTTTTGAGACACCTCCCAGGACCAGCCCAGGGAAAATGTGATGAGGGAGTACTAGCACTTAGGGTGTGATTTCAATGGTGCTGGAAGTTGCTTCCATCGCATGGTCTGACAGGGGCTTGGTGGAGCTCGCTGGGGGTCGATTATACTGATTTTGAGCTTCGCGATTACTTGTACTCGAGTAGGGTTTCCCAGAGAGTTCCGTGTCGACCCCGTTTTACAATGCCGGGTTTTCGTTAAATCCGTGGTTTGATATGATTTTAGGTATGATATGATACATGATTAGCATAGGTAGGGCCGATGCATGCAGGAAGGATCCTGAAAGATCAAGAACTTACTGGTGCGTCACAACTATTTTCTCAGGATCATGATTGTTTTGTGTTTTTGTAACCCGGAATACTGGTGTCAAAAATGATGAGCAGCGTAAGGGTTTTCCTCTGTAAACCCCCGTATTCACGAAACAATTACCGGGATTTTACTTTCCAATCCTTTAGAACTCCATATCTACACTAACTGTGGAGTTATTGAGAGAGCTATGGTTGGTACATTCGTCATGCACAATTTCTGACGATTTCATATGGAAAATCGGAAGGCTTGGCACTGTTTTCCACTCCAACTTTACAATATTGCATGCGAAAGTAGCCAGAAATTCTTTAATAATCTCTGAGAACTTGTGAAGATATTGTATTATTTTATTAGTTTTTTAAGCTTTCTAGAGCTTCAGAATGTATTGAACGGAAAGCGTGAAATAGCATTGTTGAGTTGTTATATGCCATTCTGCCTATCATACTATTTTTGACGCCAGCCTCGTATAGTATGATGCTTGGGATATCCTCGCCATCTTTGGCCAGACCGCTCGAGCCCCGAGCATGTCCCTCAGCCTGTGCATTGGTTGAATTCGGCGTTTGGCCGTGGTTTCCCAGCGGCGGGCTCATTGTCCCATCGTCTCTATAAATATTTGTCGCATTTTGAAGTAGAATCAGCAAGGCCCTAGCACTACAAAAACCTCCTACAGTTATTTTAGAAATCATTGGAATGGAATGCTGAAGCGGCAATAGATTTTGGATGAGTTGTGTTCTGGTAGGCTGCTGCTACCGTCTTTTCCATTCATCTCTTTCGGCTTATGCCCTTGTGAACTTGGACTTGTCGGAAGGTCTTTGCCATGGATAGTGGACAGGAAGAAGAAAGAATTAGTAAATTTTGATATCATATGATACTGAAATAACATTTACTGGGTCAGAGATGTGCCTACGAGCTCTTGCGGACTTGGGCTCGCAATAAACTTGGAAGTTCAAGAAAAGGTGGAATGGTTGGAAAGAGGATTTATTGTGAAGGGTTAATAATTAGCTCTTGATATCCTTGAAATTTTGCCAAACAGTCCGGTCTAATACCTAACCCCCGGCCCCAGTCAGTGGGTGATTTATCTTCGCCTACCGAGTGACGAAAGATGATTGATATATCGGTGTGGAGGGGGGTATCGCGGTGTTTCGTGGAGATCTTTGCCCTGTAGAATTTTCTATGATATCATATGATATATGATCGAGAGCCTGGCGCGTGAAAACCTTCACATAATTATGGGCGCGGCTTTATTCTCCTAAGAGGTCATCAAGGAAGCAAGACACGAAGGCCTCAAGAGGAGGAAGAATTGGACGACTTTTCTTTCATCCCTTTTCATCTAGGCTCATGCTCGCATCATTCACAGTCTTCTATCCCGGTCGAATTCCTCTGGTTTATTTTATGGTACCGTATCATACACCAGGTCACAGAGCAAGTCAGGATCCACAAGTGCAGCCCGGTCGGCACACCATCCCGATAGGAAGTCGTCCCTGTGAAACCTTTCCCAGCTGTACCTGATCAGCAGGGTTAGGTTTTCCACACTCGGTCTCGTCATCCGGGTAACCGAAGTTCACAACTGTCCTCTTCAAAAGGACACTGAACTCGAACTAGCGCGCAAGCTAAATAAATTCGCCAGTTTGCTCATGCTGATGTCTCGAAGACTCAACAATGGCTCAATCCCTCAAGAACCTAAAACAAGACTTCGTCTCGAATCTTACCGGCGGGACGATCAATGAAATAAACCTCGTGACAGCGGTTGCGCCGGTAACCTTTCCCTCCAACGGCCTCCTGTAACATATGTCTGAAAGCTAATGGCAGCTATCTGATTGATAGGCAACCTATATTCTCTATGCTGCACTGCAAACACGACTGGGATTTTTTAAATATTATGGACCACTACAATTCGCCGTAGACTTCTTACTGAGCGCTGTAGCGATATTATTTTCTACAACATTATACTCGTCCTTCCCGCTATTACTAAACCTGCTTATCGTATCCCCGGCAATCCTATTGCACCTTGGTCAATCCCGAAACACAAAACGTCCGGCAAAGCCTAGGTCTCAGAATGTTGAGAAGGAAACCAGCTCGGCACCCGAATTTCCGAAAAAGGCATTCATAACGGTGTACAGGGGCAGCATGATGGTAATCACATGTTGCGCAATCTTAGCAGTGGACTTTAGAGTCTTCCCGCGAAGGTTCGCAAAGGTGGAGAATTGGGGCACTTCGCTGATGGACACTGGTGTTGGGTCGTTTGTCTTTTCTGCTGGGATGATGAGCGCGAAGTCGGTGATTAAAGACTACCTTGCGAAGCGCGCTTCGGAACCGTTAGGAGCGAGGCTGAAGAGTGCTATGAGAGCGTCGCTGCCGCTGCTAGCGCTAGGTATTGTTAGGTTGATTATGGTCAAGGGTGTGGATTACGCCGAGCACGTTACCGAGTACGGGGTTCATTGGAACTTTTTTTTCACCCTCGGATTCTTGCCGCCATTGTTGGCTATCTTACAGTCGGTTTCGCCCGCGGCTTCTAGAATGGGGATTAACCCTACTTTTGTGTATACCCTCTTGAGTCTAGTCACTGCGGTCGGGTATCAAGTTGTTCTTGAAAAGACTGGATTAAAGGCGTTTGTCCTTGTCGGAAACAGGAACCAATATGGCTTGATATCACAAAACAAAGAAGGAATTAGCAGTTTCGCTGGGTACCTCTCTATCTTCCTGGCAGGGATGGCCACTGGGATGTATACCCTTCCCCGAGACACCCAATCTCAGCGCTTTGGTCTTTTGAAAAAGATTGTAGGGTGGTGTCTCTTCTGGACCATATCGTTTATGATCACCAAAGAGCGCTGGGGGTTCGACATTGCCGTCTCCAGACGTTTAGCAAACCTCCCATATATTCTCTGGGTTGCCTCTTTCAACACTGCACAAGTCACGGCGTTTTATCTCGTCGAAAGAGGATACTTCCGCGGGGCTGAGTATAGCGTTGCTGTGCCCAAAGTTTTAGAAGCATTCAACAGGAATGGGTTAGCGATTTTCTTAGTGGTGAATTGTCCTTACAAGTCTGTGAGCTTTTGTGATTTTAACGGTTTATAGGCAAATCTTTTCACGGGGGTGGTTAATATTTCGATTAACACCTTGGAGTGTCGGAGGATACCGGCTATGGGAGTGCTTACTTCTTACATACTTGTTTTGACGTTGTTGGCGGTAGGGTTGGATGTTAAAAACCTCAGCATTAAGTTATGACTTAAGCTATATGTATTAAGTTAGAATGCGAGACTTTTCTACTTGCTAGTTGCTAGTAGATAGATTTCAGTTCATAGACGCAAGAATGCTATTTTTTTCTGATGTCTTATGGAGTAAGATCGGAGTAAAGTTACATCTTAAGCGCGAGCTGTTATCGATTGCTTTAAACTTCTTAGATAATAGAATATAGTTCTTCGACGATAACAGACCCCCGAATTATTATGCACCCGGAATCTACCGACGCCCGGCATACGTCTTGAGCGATGGCGCTCGTGGTGATGGGTGCGTACAAGGTCAAGGGTTCGTATATATCTGTATGGGCCGCTTTCTTCAAGGGCCTATAGAGGGCAATCGCCCATCCGGACATCTTCCCAATTCCACCCCCGATTCATCCCGTTTTAAACAACTAATTTGTGGTGGGGCACAGCGGATCTAATCCTTGTGGACCGAAGGACACGAAACCTTTATTGGTACGAGTAGAGATGTTGTAATAAGGGAATAGAGAAGTAAAGAACAGAAGTATAACAAAGTAATAGGAAATTGTCTAACTAAATAACGAATGGATGTGATGATAAACTGATATGAAAACAAGTGAACAAGCGGAAAATAAGACAGCCTTATATCCTCCTCCAGAGAAACCCTCCTGTCCTCGCATGCTTCCTGCGCATGCCTAATCTCACATGAGATTGTTACGCTCTACTTCCTTTCATCCTGCAGTGCCGAATTCTATCCGAGGTGACCGAGGATATGGTTGTTGTTCGGCATCAGCACTGCTTGCGTTTCATAGTAGGTGATCCGGTGTTTGTGGTAGTCGCACTATGTATGCAGGGTGGATGTTTGGCCATGTATGAAGCTAACTATAGTGAAACCGCTGGTGAGGAAGGATGTGTAGTGGATCATAGTGGTTCCGTTTCATGTGACTCCGCGAATGGGAAAATATGTATGTGGTGAGCAGCTGAGAATGACGAATCTCCAACATCCCGTCCCTTTCATTATTTGGCCACTTATCATACATAGCTGACCGAATACTGAGACTAGAACAACTGGAGAGTTTCCGTTCGGGTAATTCGTAATGAGCATGTCCCAGGATCATTAATGTTGCCACTGGCGGACCCGCTCGGTCATGGCATTGGGCCACATTGACTTGCACTCAGATTTCTTGGGCCGGTCTCTCGCCCTTGTATTGTCCGAGCCGTTGCTAGGGTACATCCTGCACACTACGGAAGGGGAAAATTGAATACGCGGCTTCGGGATCTGGTATCATACATGAGTGTAGAAACTACAAAAGGTTAACAATGATCCATTGGCAGCACCCATAGAGTCAATTGATGCTCCTGGACTTATACTTGGCGTCGTTGGCGGTTGGCAGAGTTTGCGGCTGGTATGATAGTTCGCCGTGGCTAAGGGCAACTCGATTCAGGGTTTCCGGAGGTTCCATATACCTTCTCTATTATTTATGTTGGGTAATACGGTTTCCTATTATTGGAAGCTATGTGCATGTGTCGTCCATATGTCACACTGGGTATATTACCGATGCATTCCAGTAGCTTTTAGATATTTCTTTGATATGGGGCAGTTCTCGTTTAATGACAAGGGGTATACAAAGGAGTATCCTTTATATTTTTCATTTTGGCTTTTACGATCACATAAGTTCAACTTGTTGAAGATAACTGAGAAGTAATTACTCAGGCAGCAACGGGGGTGAGGGCGGAGGCATCCTCATCCGCAATCGCAAACCTCTCTATACTATCTCGGAATGCGGTATGATACTTGGGAACCCAATTACGGTTCTCATGAGAGTTGTTTTATTGTATTAAGCAAAGAGAGCCTATTGAACAGTTCTTACAGGAGCCTTTGGATGAGTGCGAGGGGGTTGCTATGTAACGGGGTCTTAACAGTATGGTTTTCCGGGTTAATAAGGGGAGCGGTTTAATTCGAGGCAGAATACAATAGTACCTGAAGTGATTCGAGGCGCGAGAGTAAGAGATGACATACTTCCTGTAGGATTTATGAGGCGCACGCAACACCTCCTGCCAGTGATTCTTCCAGTGTCCAAAATCTCATAATCCCCCTCTAGATTTCTAGTACAGTAATGGCATCTCGCATCATCCAAATATCTGATGTTTTAATCCCAATCGTTAGTTTAGTAACTTGTTATAGAGGCTGTCAGAAACAGAAGAAACTTCACCAGAAGTTATAAGAAATCACCCAAGGTCGTGACAGCTTGACCCGTAATCTCTCTCCGCAGTTCGCCGCAATAATTTGCCCCCGCTCTGCACTAGCTTCACTCTCCTACCACTATGCCCCGTTCTACAGTAAGACTTCAGATGGCGGCCAAAGTTCCATATTCACTACGGGACCTCCTGGCCGACCCTTGATTCATTCAAGCGTCCTACACGGCTCCTCCAAGCAGCCTGCTGGGCCATATTGTGATGGTCACTACAAATGACTACCACAGCTGCAGCCTGGATCAATTATCGTTACGCAGCGGCTAGCAAGCGAACCCAAACCTATGGAGAAGGGTTGGTATGATACTGCAGAATCGCTAATCGATGATTTAACGTCTTCCGAAGTAAAGAAAAAGAAAAAAAAGCTTTGCTGTTAGGAATGTTAATATTGATTTCAAGAAGTTGATCGGTTAATATGGGATGATAGCAATTGGGTAGTATTATTGATTAAAATACTTCCCTCTTGAACAATTTCCTAAATCGGGAACTCGGAGGAATTCTAGGATTGAAAATGTGCACTGGGATTGAAAATGTGCACAAGGTCTCGGATAACACGGACGAGTATCATAGATCGTGGGTTTGGGAGACCTGAGGGATTAGACCTAGATCATGAAAAGAGGGGGGGGTTAAAGTTGTATGATATGCATTATCCTATCTTTCTCTCTCCCATGTGAGCATTCCGATATCAAAGTAGTAGTTTACAGATACAGGCCGTCAAGCCCAACACACAGGAAAACCCCACACTGTACCTCATCGGCCAGATCTGAATCGAGCACTTCACCTTGACGACAGTAACAGAATTCAAGAAAACATCCGGAACGACGTTGGGCAATCCAGGATTCTTCATAAACACCATGTCAGCTGATGTTGGCGGAGATGGAGTCACCATGTATTCCAAGCTACGACCTAGGATATTTAAGGATTAGGGAAACAGATATATAACTGACATTTCCCCGGTTCGCCCAAACCCTACTATGTGCATGGTTATGATACTTTACACGAACCAGATAGGGGGGGGGGTGAGAATCAACAGGATTCACACAAATCGCGAAGACACCTCAATTGGCTTGTACAGTACTACACCGGTGTTTCGAATGTTTGGGGACTTCTGGGATGGGCTTTAGAGCACCGCGAGCCGATACCACGGCCATTCTTGCCGCTATGTTGTGGGAAGTTTGGATGATGAAATCGAAACCAACCTGACGACGGATATTGGGTTCTAGTTACCCGGGGGAGCTTGGAGTACAAGTACTGTACACCTAATCCGGGACTCGGTGGCTAGAGATATTGCACAGGATATGAGTGAGGGGGGTAGCTTGAACTCTATTATGGGGGTGTTTAGCAAACATGATTAAATTTTGAAATCTTGTTTTTTAAAACCCCAAAATCAACATTTTTCCCAAGTTATGATCCGAAACCACACTTTGCAAACACCCTCCTTATGATTTTTTTCTCCTTCCTTCCTTTCCGCCCCAGAGATGAGAAGCAAAAAAAAAAAAAGCTGGTGTCGCACCGATTTTTATTATTATATCCATATTGCTCCAAATACATATTATCCAAATCACTAAATCAAATCACATTTTTCAAATTATGGTTTGAAGTTGCATTACCAAACACTCCATGATTTCAAATCAGGATTTGGTTGCGGATCGCGATTTGAAATCCGAATCACGATTGCCAAACACTACCGTAATAGCATTACAGCAGAAGGGTACTGTGTCTGCCCCTCCCCCATCCCCATTTATTTGTCCCGATCCACGGGAAATCACTCGCAGGTGACCGGCAGATCCGCTTTCATATACTTTCCTCAAGTAAGGAATCGGCAAGAGTGCCGTCCTGGTGAAGACTTGCGTGTCGAAATTGAAGGCGGCATTCAACAGGTACCGGGATTCAAAGAATACACAGTTTTGTCCACTTGTGTACAGTATGATACCGTCTAGAAGGATTCGTCTCTTTCCAACGACATCTGTGCCACTCGTGATGCCCAGCAGGATTGTATTCTGACCAAGATTAGATTGCCACCACATCCAGGTAGCGGCGGCACTTGGATATTTGGATTTTGGCTTGCCTGGCCACTGACATTATCGTAGAGACTAGAGTACCGTACGAGTAGGTTCTGAGTAAACTCGACCAGTCGCTATACTTCTTAAGGTAGCCACTATCCATCCCTCTTAAGGACTAACTCGGTGGCGAGTTCGCCTTTCCTGGGATAACGTTAGTAACTACCATACAGGGAATAGCGGCGGGTCGAGTTTACCCAGAACCCAATGTACGGTACTCGAGTAGTGTACTGAACGGTACGTCTACTTTCCCATCTGCTATTATGATACGATACACAATATTTCTCCACCACCATCGATGCGTAACAGAACTCCAGCTGGCAAAACCCCGCACGCAGCCACCCCTACAGCACCTCCCCTCCATGCGCCCTCGAGACCGGCCCCGCGGGCACAGCCAGGTAAAAAAAGTATCTTCCCATAAGAGGACGAATAGCATAAATCTGCTTCAGAGGACTGCACAATAAACTTCGCTCTGAGATTCCGGGGAACATCTGCCCTCACATCCCTCGCCACAACACCGCTAGCGGCGCAACGCCGAAGGGTGAATTCCTACTTCCCCCTGGAAAGTCGCGGACGCGAAGCCACCCCGAGCTTCGTCGCGAATAAGATCGCTAGAATCCCCTTCGAGGATAATGCCCATTACACCCCGTATTTTAAGGGTGGTACAGAGCACATCCATGGGATCCAAGTGATATCTTTTGGTGCTCTTGCTGTCATACGAGTATTGGGAGGTTGGGAGTGTGGGATTTGTGTGGGATTTGTGATTGGGCAGTTGGGGATGCTTGGTGGTGATTGGCTTGCTGATGGGGTGGAGGGGGCTGCTTGCGGCTGATAAGGAGATGGCGGGTCTGGACACTGCCAATGACCTGTTTGCGCAGAGTGGGTTTGATGATACCGTAAGAACTCGAATAATCGGACCATGTGCTAGGAAGTTGATTTTGAGTTTGAAACACGGGAGTGTGGGAGATTAGTGTCTTAAATAAAATCGTAACTTGAGACAAAAGACAATTTCAACCTCAAAGTCATAAATGTAAACGTCATGACGCGTCAAAAATGAGTCAATTCCATAAAACAGAGAAGATGTGTCATAGTAGAGAAAAAAAGAGTCAATAGGTAAACTATTTTGGAAGGACAAAAGGTAGATATTTGCAGCTTCTTGAAAATTAAAAAACGAGAAGAAAACGAAGAATTAAAAGATCAAAATATGTCATCGAGAAGCTCCAATCTCCCATGTGGCCATATCCATATCCAACCCAATCTTCCACCTCTTTCAGTGGATCGTTTTATGCTGGGATTAAGAAAAGACCAGGACCAAAGTGAAAGCCACTCTCAGCAGCATTGCGAAAGCCTAAAAGTCCAGCAGCCAATCCTTATCGTTCCTATACAGTAAACTATAAGCTTAGAATTCTTTCTTACTGGAGTTCGAAATGCATACCCTGTGGTCCTACATGATTTCATGAACCAACCCGAGCGGAGGTTGCAGACCAGTTTCAACTTCCAGCAACAAACCTTTCACGATGGAGAAAGCAGGAGGAGGCAGGATACTACCGGGAGGCAAAGGGAGGGCAACAATGGATATTGGGTGGGGGAAGGCAGAGGTGGTGGAAAGAGATAGAGCGGAAGCTTTTCGAAATATTTCAGGAGAGAAGAGCAATGGGGAGGCTGGTTCGTCATGGCTGGTTTCGTTGTATTAGCAAGGAGCTAATTCAAAAGCACTATGGGGATCGAGAAGCAAATCTTTTTTGTTTTTTCGAATGGGTGGTTTCGAGACTTTCTCTCGTGGCATCAGATTAGTCTTCGTGCTATAACTAATAAAGCGAGCAAACTGCCAACAGATTTTGGCGATGTGATCCTTAACTGGATGCGATTTAATTGCCAAAATTCACAGATTAGAGGCGAGGGAGACTCACCAACAGCAATTGGTAGATGTCAGCTCCAGAATATCTGCAACATGGATCAGACTCGTGTACCATATGAGTTCATTGAGGGATGTACTTACAATATTAAAGGCGAGAAAACTATTTGGATGCAGTCCAGTCAGTCTTCAGGATGGGATAAACACCAAGGAATAATTCAACTTACAGTTTTTGCTGATGGAGTACCGTGAGTAAAGCCACTTATTTTCTTCCACAGAAAAGGTACTGGGCCCATGATCGTTGCTGAAATGCATGAGTATGACCCACAGGTAGTGGTTAGATTCAATCTTACTACCTATGCAAACAGTGAGAATATTGTTAGTTGGCTTGATGAGCAATTAGTTCCAATCTTAGAAAACGAACTCACACTACTTGCCTTAGATCTCTTCAGCCGCCACAAAACAGACAAAGTACTCGATACTAGGAAGGCGAATGATATTACAGTTAGTGTTATTCCTGAAGGCTGTACGGGATTGATACAACCTCTTGACGTATCAATAAATAGACCTTTTAAGAACATTTTAAAGGTTAGTCAATCTCTTTTGCAATAAAAAAAAACCCCCATTTACAAGGGGGTTCTTGCCATCTCTACATCCCCCCCTCCACAAGCATCTTTACTACTCTGTCACTTCCGCGCTCAGCAGACCACGAGAGTGGTATCTGGCCATATTTGGTGTCAGTCTAGTTGAGATTGAGATCCCCTCATTCCAAAAGCATCTTGACCACCACCTCATGCCCGTTCTTGGCCGCCAACGAGAGTGGCATTTGGCCATATGCGGTGTCTGCGTGGTTGAGATTGATATCCCTGCATTCTAGAAGCATCTTGACCACCCCCTCATATCCATGCCTAGTGGTCCAAGAGAGTGGCGTCTGGCCATAATTGGTATCTGCCCATTCGGGATTGATGTCCTCTCATTCTAGAAGAATCTTTACTATCCCCTCATGCCCGTGCCACGTGAACTACAAGAGCGAGATAGTATTGGAACTTATCACTGCCCTGGCTCACTCCAGATATCATCCTGTAGGCTTAGCCGTTAGCAAGAATCTTCGAACTTTTACTATTTATAGGGCTGGCCATGCTAACCTACAAAATATTAATTAGGAGTCCATAGAACAAAAGCTTGACGAGATAGAATGAGAGGAGGAACAGATTTTGGCTGGCAATAGAGGGGTACTTAGCAGAAGTAAGGTGAGGCGACGGCGAGTTGCAGTGACATGAGTGGTTGGCGATGCTTGGGAGAGATTCTCGGTAGAAAAGGTTGTGGTGGTTCGAAAAGCATTTCGGGTTGTTGGACTTGCTCTCCCAATTGATGGGTCAGCAGATCATGAAATATCTATTAAGAGGATTGAAATTGGGTTTCTTACCGAAAGTTTGAAGGATTGGCAGGTGGGGGGTATGGTGGATGATGAAAATGACTCTGTAGTATTAGATGTTAGTGGGGATGAAGCAGAAGTATTTTTCGAGTAGCCAAGACACAATGAAGCTGATATTGCATCTTACCTGACGACTATGCTTGGCATGACTCACCTTAATTGGACTTCCTAGCACATGGTCCGATTATTCGAGTTCTTACGGTAGTTGACTGAGTGGAGGGGTTGGTAAGAGCTGGTACTTGTATTATAATAATAATAATAATATTATTATTATTATTATCATGCCTCGTTTAGACTGTGGATACTGTATGGCTGGGGTTTAGGATCCATTTGTGGAAAGCCGGGAATAGAGAGGAAGGGCGAGGTCGCTGGCGGATTGGCTTGACTTCGTTTGGATTTTTGTCCTCCTGCCTGCCGCTCGCCAAGCTTTTGTCTTCTCTCCCGCAGAGCAATTTATGATCTACATTGCATTGCACTTGATCAATTGATCCATTGATAGTAACTGATAAATCTACTTTACATAAGAACTTGCATCCACGCTATGCACCGCATCCAAAGGACCGACAGGGGCGGAAGGATTTGCCGTGCCTGCCATGTCAAGCGGGAGAGAGGGAAAAAAGGGCAAAATTTAAAACAACATTGGCATCCAAGTAAGAATTGATATAAAAAAATAAAGGAGACAAGAAGAAAAAAGAGCCAATTGACAAAAATCGTGAAAATAAACGCAATTTACATGACACTGGCCCTCCACCTTTCTACCACTTCCCGCTGTTTAGGGTCAAGAATAGCCTCCCCAGTCCCACCCATGTTCATCGGCATAGGCATTTGCATCTGCATAGGCATCGGCATCCCCCGGCCCATCTGCATATTGTACTGGTTGCCCATCAACCCGCCCATTTGCGGTTGCGGTTGTATGTATCCCGCGTTGTTCCCCGCCTGGGAGTAGTAGCTTTGCGGACGGTTGTTGGCGCGGTAGAGGAGGTCCATCATGTTACGTCTATTACGGACTTCCTGTTGTAGGAGCGAACTCTCGTGCTTGGTCGCTTCCTGTTGCTGCAAGCGCCTCCTACGCTGAGCGAGAGTTTCTTCCGTGGCCGGGGGCGCTGGTTCTTGCTTGGCTGTAGAACCATTTCCTTCGCTTGGACTAGTGAATTCCATTCCTAGAGTGCCGGTACCAAACTCCTTCCTCTCCTTGAGACGCTTCATTCGGTCCTTCAGTGTCTCTCCTTCAACTTCCTCTTCCGCATCCGCTGCGCTAGTCTGTGATCCTCCGCCTAGGCCGGGTAGGTCGAGGAATCTTCTTGGTTGAGGCTGCACTACGTGTCCGTTTTGCCCTTGGAGACGTTCTCGACGTTTGCTAAGTGGCTCCGCATCTTCCATTTGCTTTTTCATGAGAAGGCCGAGCGGAACCTCGTCATCACGACGCGTCTGTGCACCAGGAGCCACTGTATAGAGCAATCCAAGAGGGACATCTCCATCTTGATCATCATCCTCATCCACATCACCAGGGTCCTCCCATGCTAGATGCGTCTTTTTTCTCGATCTTGCCTCCTTCTGTACTTGTGCCACGGCGTCGAGCTGTAGAAGGGTGCTGCGAATACCACCCGGGAAGGCGCTAGCTGCCGTTCGATTCCGAAGCCGCTGCTGGGCTTTACGAGATTCGAGCTCGGCGAGTAGGGTTGTAGGTAGACCACCGCCAAGATCTGGATCGGGCTGAGGTGCAAAGTCCTCCGATATCCCGGAGTGCCGATGTTGGTTACCAGGATCGTAATATTCGCTGGTTTCAGGGTTAAGATGACTCCGAGCGTCTTCATGAATTTCGTCCTCCATAGAAGACCTGGGGCTCTCTCCAGGATGTAGCTTAACCGTTATAGCCACACTATTACGATAATTATTGTTTGGCCCACTGGGAAGATGCATTGAAGATCTATTCCCCTTAGGTCCATAGGGCACGGCCCCACCAGCAATCGGGTGATCGGTGAATGCGGCTGGAGGAGCCTTTGCGGAGGCATCGAGGATACTATCAAGCGTAGCAACTGCAGAATCCTCCTTGACTTCAATCTGGGGAATTGTTGGAATATCGAAGAATTGAGAGGCTCTCAAGGCAGGTGGCAGATTGGCTATTGAGCGGCGATTGGCAGCTTGATCCAAGGTGGCAACTGAGCGACGGTGAAGGTCCTTGTCCGGAACGTGACCTGGTGCTCCTGCTACAGAATAAGCCACCGAACGACGATTGTCGGTGGGGTCGGCATTATCGGGGATATGACGGGAATGCCTATTATTTGCAGTTGATTTAGGTTTAGATAGCGTAGGGGGAAGATTTAGCATCGCAGGAACCGGAGCCGGATAAAATACCAGGTTCGATGAGCCTTGAGAATCCGAGTGTGGTGAGGTTGGGTGAATAGAGTGTTGGCTCTGACGCTGTCTATGTCGATGAGGGGGCGGTGGTGGTGCTACCGAAAACCGATTATTGGGGTGGTCTAAATCGAAATGGACTCCGTCGAAATCCTCGAATAGATCTCCAATATTGGTTGCGGATGTTGCAGGTCTGTACTCGCGCTGCTCTCTCGCGTGGTCAGCTTTTGGAGGGAGTGGAAGCTCGGGATACGACTGTGAAGGCCGAAAAGCTGGGTGGACGTCTTCCGGCGATGCGGTGAAGCCAAAGGCTTGATCTTCCGGATCCAAGATACCTGCGGACACTGGTAGAGGGGGTAATTGATGGGAAGAGCGACTCCCGCTGGGGATATGGTGTTGGTAAGGGCGGTGCACACCCCTAGCTGTCTGAGGATCTGAGACATCTCCCCTTTGTGGAGAACTAATATCCGCACGACCATCCAAATGCAATTCAAGTCTCAAATCACGCTCCGCAATCTCCAATTCGGTCCGGTGGTCACCGTAGCTGACCGAGGAAGTGGCCCCTTGCGATGCTGAGTCGGACTTTGAATGAGGGGGATCCGACACGCTAACTCTAGAACCAACGATTCCCTCTCCGCCCATTCCACTGAAAGCTTCGTCCGCCTCTCTATCCATATCTCCACTGTCTCTCCTGCCATTGGTCCTCCTGTTATCACCCGTAGCATCGCTCCCCTGAGCCCCCCTTCCACTCCTCAAATCACCCTCCTCATCCGAGCTATCGCCAACCATTTCATAAGATGTACCCGAAAGAACACTGGATTTGAGCATAGACATTACACGATCGGTTGGTGAATATTCTGTCTGGACAGGTCGAGATTCGGGGCTAGGAGGGAGGTAAGGGGCTTCAGAGTTCAGGAGCTGTAGTTCAGGCGGTGGATAGGAGGCATTAGTGGAAGTGGAAGAAGCGATGCTGCTCCTTCTGCGGTAGGAAGTGGTTTGAGAAATAACGGAATAGGACATAACCGCTGGTGGGGTAGGGGGGTTCCTAAACCAGGAGGGTATTTTTATTTTTATTTTTATTTCTATCCCTTCTTTCCTCCTCTTTCCCTAACCAGTAAGCAATGTTTAAGCCGCCAAGAGGGGAGAAGTCATAAGGGTTAATACAGTAAAATATGATGGGCGTTGAGAAAAGAGCAACAATACGATGGTTGTTTGGGGAGAGGAGGGGTGGGGATGAGAATATTTCGTTTCAAGAAAAAAGGCAAAAAAAACCAACTTGGCAGAACAGAGGTGGATAAAGGGATGATGGCAATGATGTTGATGATGGTGATGATGATGATGGGAGGGTGAGGGAGGGAGTATAAAGCGAGTTGAAGTTTGCTGGCTGGTCAAACTTCTGCGTCGTCGTCTGTTCGTCGCGTCTGTGTGCGGCTCGTTCGGGATTAGGGGTAATTGAACTTGCAATTCACGGGGTGTGAGCGTGGTCGATGATAATGCCCCAGGGTATCAGGCTTTAATCCATCGGTTATCGTGAGAATCGTAACAAGATATTATGAATTAAACAAAAGCATCACAACTTGAGAAGCATAAAAACAGTTAGCCAGTGATGGAGATAATGAAGCGGGGGCGACCTTTCCCCTTTTCTTGCTCCAACCTGCACTTTCATTACTTTTTTCTATTGTCTTGCATTCCCTCTTCCTTCTTCCCGGCGGATCCAGTCCTGTCTCTCGCTTAAACAGTCAAGATGCTGTGCTCGAGTACTTGCACGAGTTCTCTACCCTGAACCACATTCGGGCATGTCTCATACCAAGCCTTCTTGCAGGGAGGCAAGCGCCACAAGCAATCATTCCTCGCCATGAGGGGGAAAAGCCGAAGGCCAGCCTCTCATTATCCTAACTTCGAAATGTTGTTCATTACCAGGTAACCAATCGTGCAGAGGTAAGAAATCAGTGAAATAAAGACCTTTCTCCTTTTTTCTTTTCGGTTTGACCGGTGTGCTAATTTAATTCAGAGTTGAAGATCCCGACCCTGGCCCGCCGGCTACTCCCGTTGCCGTGAACCTCGTGGGGATGTCCATTGGCTACGGCAGTTGTATTATACTGTTGATAAAAATGGACAAATACCATGCACTGTAATCCTGTATTCCGCAGGAGATATAAAATCCACACCAAATTAATTCTTTTCTCTAAAAGGATCGAAATTCAAACAGCTGTAAGCCAGTGAATTCAATATAAACGAAAAGAAAAACTAATAGTGAATAATTGTAAGTAAATTCAACTCAATAAATGAAAAAAAGAAGAAGTCGGTTGTGATAATGTGATATTTGATCACTCATTATTTCTGCCGATATGTATTATATCGTAATAGCACTACCGATAATCACCCTGAACCATTCTCCTTCACTCCTAGTATTATAGGTAGAAAAAGTATATGGAAAACCTATCAATACACGGTTAAGTAGTCGGCTGGAAGTTTAGGTCATTCCTTTTTATTACTACGATCCTGTTCAGTGTATTGGAATATAAATGCGTTATCCCTTCAAAGTATGAAATACGCAGATTTCGCACCCTCGGAATCTGGGTCTGGCCCACTGACTTTGCCCGACAAAAACCATCAAATATCAAGGACCCCCGTGCGGAAAGGTCACTTCGTCACAGCCTAGAGTTACCGTACACAAATAGATGCAGAATCTACATGTCTCATCTGTTGAAAGGACAAGACAAAATATTACTAAAGGTTGGATAGTTTATTGTCTGGTAGATACCTGCAATTTGCTCTTCCGGCAACCAAAATCACGATACTGGATCAAGATTGACCATTCAATAAAATAATAGCTAGAAAAACAATTGGGGGAAATACTCAACTTTGATTTGTGATATCCGGGAACTGTACTGAGCTAAAGAAGTACATTAATCTAGGCAAATTCTATTGTATCCTATTAAATTGGCTAAATTGGCTTTTCACCCTTTGTCCCCTAACTTGGGTATTCAGGTCCTTCGATCCTTTGTTTGCTCTGAGCGAGGAAAGTCAAAATTCATAAGGGTAAATTTCCTTTCTCTTGCTTCTCGAAGCCCAGGTAATGGATCTTAAAGATATGGTCTATGCTCAGGATTGAGGCCAGCGGAGGGAAGAAGACATTCTCCCTTAAAAAATTACCCTTGTTGCTATAGCTGACACACCTGACACTAGTAAATCACAAGTCTTGTCAACAATGGTCCGACAACTTATTCCGACTCTGTTGCGAATTGGTCATGACGAACTCAGGCCCTCGATACTGCTACCTCAAGTCAGTCCCGTCCCTCCTGAGTTGAATACATTTTTTGGTCTTTTCAATGAGGATAGCTAAACGGCGGCAAGAGTAGCTAAACGGGTGGACGCTCTAGAAGCCTAGAGGAAACCTCTAATTCGAGATTTGGATAACGAACACCAATTTGAGGGGCCCGCTCCTTGGGGTATCGATGATGATCACCCGTCTGATTCTCTGTGGAAGGTCCACTGCGAATCACTTTCCAGAATATACCCAAACCGATCTCCTCTAATCATCACAAGCCCTATTTCACTGGACAACCTATCATACCCACCACTTTTTTAACCCCGCAATACGCCAGAGACTCCTTCAATGCTCCAACCTACTATTCATTCTTCGGAACAACCTCCATGAGTACTGGTTCGGGGATTTACATTTCCGCACCACAACGTTCTTCATTCTCATTCCCTGGCTGGCTCGTGCTACTGCGGTTACGGATACCTTATCGGCCCATGGTGGCCTCGAGCAATGCTTACGAGTGGCGACTAGAGATCCTGTCTGCAGAACAGCTCGTACCCAGGGTTACAATATCTCTACTGCTACTCACCTGATTGACCGTTCTTGGCGATATGTCTTGAGTGCCATGACCCTATGGCACGAAGCCAGTAACCCTAGTGACTTTTGGCCCAGGCCAGCGACCCTCATTGATTCCGCAGGTTGGGATATACAAGGGTTTATGGGCAGACTCACGGAAATCCTTTACCAAGTAAGTAGGATAAGCTATATGCACCACTGATACTGACGATGACGGCCTAGCAATAAAACGAGCACCCCTAAGGCCCTATATAGGAACCGCAAGAATAGGCTGCAGTGGTTGTGCTATAGGGGGTTCTACAGGCCTCTTATCTCTCACCCGTCATATCAAGGCTATCGAGTTTGCCTAATGGGAGATTGATAATGGTGCTGAAGCGATCTTGTTCAGTGGTATCCCAAACACACTGGATGATGAATGTGGTTCTGCAGGCAGTAGGATATGTCGGATCGAAGCGACAGCCCTCCGTCGATCTAAAAAGCAGATCTTTTTCGGGTAAGCTTACACCTCCCCTAGAGTCTCATAATATAGGATATTGTTGCTGTAACTACGGGCTAAGTTGAACATCCAGCCGAACCACACCGTCTGTCAAGATGGTAGATATCGTTTTGGCTGGCCCTGCGGAGCGGTTCCGAAGGCAAATGGATACTCACTCACCCGCGGGTGATCCCCCCAGGCCCTATTTGCTCCTATCCATGACCACTAACAAACGCATAGCTAGCGCTGAGCAGATCGCGGTGTCAATAAATCAACGGTGGTCTTGGACGAAAATGGCCAGGGTTTCATCAAAGGCTTGAAGCTGCCACAATATCCTGTTTATATGTCGACCCTTGTCAATTCTACTAATATTCTCGATACTAGACCTTCCTCCGTCATACTTCCGAACTTTGCTTATTTGGAAATTGACAATCAGCCTCCAATATTCTGTTTTCAAAGGCGCAGGCCAGTGCTGGAGCAGGAAGACAAAATTATGAGCACAAGCAAACATAACTTCCAGGTCCAACCCCATGGATGATTCAAGAGCCGCCTTGTACGGAAGCTATCGCACTATCAACCCTTGCCAACTTGCCGATCACCAGAACTCTTCAGCTTTTAGGTAAGGACTTAAAAATTTCTCCTGCAATGGTAGCTGCCAGGGTGACCCGGTTTGGACAATGGATACTTGAAAATTATACAATAGATCCTTTTGACAGAGAAGAAAGATTTCAGCGAACACAAGCACGGCCAGACACAAGAGGATTGGAGCCCACGGGATGGCTTACAAACGATATCATAGACGCTGTCACAACTCACTATAACCAATTCCATCCAGAGGCAGAAATATTTTCGGTCTCGTTTACAGCCTTATTGGCCGTCACTGGTGATCCTTCACACCTCGCGCAAAGCCAATTGGGTACAAGGTTTTGGATCTTTATACAGTCGAATATCCAGGAAGATCAGCCCGGTAACCACCTGTGGATCTTGATAGTTGCCCGGGTTAAGGGGCACTTTTTCGGTCACGTCAGCCTAAAAGATCTTGGCGATCCTAGCATCCTTTTCAATGCCTTGAGGCCTATTTTTGAATCACCCGTAGTCCAGAATATTGCTGGATCGGAGGCAACGTTAACTCTCCCGGCGAATACGGTGGTGGATGTGCCGCAACAACAGAGCGGATATGATTGCGGCGTTTACTCAGTGAGAACGATAACCGGGTTCTTGGAGGGGCTCGCCGAAATTCGGGGACCCGTCCCAGCAGACGGGGAAAGCCAAGCTGCGAGATCATACGAGTACGGTACATGCCAGAAAATTGGTCCTCCCCGGAGTACCGCAGGGTTCTTCGCCATTCCTTTCTGGTAAGCCCGCACTTTCGCAGCAGTTTTGTCTCCCCAAAATTGATAGTGAGTGGGTTTAAGACTCGGCCCCTGCAGGAAGCTGGTGCTTCCACTACCCCCAACCTACTCAACGATCTCATCACTGCGCTATCGCATGCTAATCACCGCCACGATCTGGACCGGGCAATGTGGCACCTTGATAATACCTGTTGAATCCTTCTTCAAATGAACCGTGTGCCAGTCAGCAATTTGCCTCATGGCTGTCTATGTCAGAATCAAGATAACGGGTATGGTTTCTCCGTTGTGCCCGTCCCACCGGGCTATAAGGTTGTGCTCATGAGGTAGGCTCCCACCCACCCTAACCCCAGCACTCAGGAGTTCACATCAATTAGCGACTCAATCCTCTCGGGGAACTCTTGGACGAGAGTTCAAAACCTCCCTGTCATGCGGCAGTATTCAGCAGCTTACCAAAGCGCTTGTGAGTACAGTCGTTTCTTCACCTTTTCACAGCTAACTTGATTACTTTAATGATGAGATTAAATCGGAGTAACCGATTTAGCAATCTTGAGAGAGAAGAACTCCGTGATAAATATTTGATTTTAGCTTCAGATACCGCTCAGGTATTAGTTGGGAACCGAATAGAACATGTCGGAAACCTCCCCCAGGGCTTTGCTGGAGCAAGTTTCCTTCCTGAAGACAATACTGACAAAATCGTTCAAATTTTGGAAACAAATTCGAAAACGTATGGGGGTGATGCTATCAGATTACCCGGAGCGTCATATATAAGGATAAACGGCCAAGTCTGGATTTGGATACCAAGGTCTCTCACTCAGCCAGCTGCTGAAAGATGGGAGCTCACGCAACCGATCAGGCATTTAGCGCGGCCTTCTAGAATGATGCAAATTCTCCAAGAGATACCTAGGGCCCGCCCGAGCGCGGGAGACCCGGCCTTCACTATCAGCACTATTGGGGTGCTCGGGAGGACGTTCTTGTTGCCTACAGAACATAGTTTTAGCTATCTCACCATCCGAAGCTATCTAGAGAGTCAGAGAGAACTCTTCCCGGCCTCTACTCTCAGTTACTGGATGACGGGCGTGGTGAGTCGCCGGAGTGCGTTTTGCGTATTTTCAAACGTTGCACTCGGGCCCGGCGACTGCATCCTCAGGTTTCGGATTTTTTCTTTTTCTTTTTTGCGATGGGAATTTGTGTATGATACTTGTATAAGTTCTGGGTTCGTTCTAGGACAATGTTGTTTTTTTATTGTAAAAACAAAACGGGAAAGCGCTATATATCATGGAGGTATCATACTATTCAAATTTCAATACTGTGATAGATCAATCCATTACACCCCGTCCCCTATCCACCTACATCACCCAAACCTGCCCTACCCCACCCTCCCAAAGAACGCCACATACCCAAAAAACCTCTCGCTCTGGAGCGGATGCGTGACTCCCGCGCGTGGTATTCCAACGATTAATTCTCTGTTGGCACCGGATGCGATTGATGTAGCGAAGCGTGCCTAGTACTCTTAGTTCGTTTCAACCCGCGAAAATGATAACCATGGGGGGGAATACATTAGCTTCCTGGCCGACCCTGACGGGTTTAAGAGAGATTTTCTTAACGGCTTCTTCCTGCTCTTTGAGTACAACTTGAGCACGAGCAACCACACGCTCCCCGTCAAGTACCCTCCCAACATGAAGCCACCAAACCGCGCCCCGTCCTGCATCCCAGAATTCACTGCCAATCCATAGCCCGCTGTCCCCATCCTTTGCAAGGGCCTTGCCGAAACGTGCCCACTCCGCACCCGTCGGTTCGGGGGCTACTTCCGCGACTAGTTCCGCACCAGTCTGGGAGAGGGTGTATAGTCTAAGTACACCAGACTGCTTAACACCATCCACGTCCTCGTTCGTAGCGGAAATGGCGAGCCATTCTATGCCAGAGGTGTAGCCGGCGGTCACAGTAGCACCGAAGTTACCCCGAGAGGATGAGGAGGACGGGAGGAAGGGGCGTGGGGCGCGTGGCGCTGGGATTGTGTATACGTGTTTGAGAGAAGAGGATATCGGGTTCCAGCGGTAGGCGAATACGCTAGAGGTTCCCGGCGCGCTGATGAAGAGGGTGCGGGAATGTGCGGAGAAGGCAATTGCCGCGCCAAAGTTTTCGTACGTGGAGGTTTTGGAGCACGGGGTTGCTTTTGCGCTTTCTGGGAGGGAGAGGATCGTTGCATTTAGGAGTATGTCCTGGCCCTCTGATAATTCTACGTGTATGGGTTGGTCCGAAGAGGAGGGGGAAGAGGAAGATCGGGACGGGGAAATGACCGCAATTTCACCCTCACCGAATTGCACTTTCCCTCTACCCTCGCAGATACGTAGCCCGTCGCTGCGCGATCCCGAGACTATCAGTTTTTCTTCACCGTCGCCGGCGAGATCGGCTGATAGCATGGTCTCTCCCCACCACCTCCGCCCGATGCTGCCCAGTTCCGCACCCTTAAAGGTTATAGAGAATACACTTGACCCACTGCCCTTTGGGAAGACGTGGATTTTCCCCGCCGGGGAGGTGCCCTGGAAGGGAAGTGACGGGGGTGTGCTAGGGTCATAGGTCAAAGGTCCAGCTGCTGCCACGGCCAGGAACGTGGTATTCATTATTCTCCAAGGCGTGGTAGAGATTCCGAATCGCTGGTCTGTAGATGCAGTAGGTTGCTTGACTAGCGGGAGAGGTTTGGGAACCGATTGGAGAGTGGGCTTTGCAAAGTCTTTTAATGGCAGGATGTAGACGTTCCCTTCCCCCGGTTTTGAAGAGTCTGTAGATTCCCAGGGCGCACCTATAGCGATCGCCTGGCCGTCATCGAACGGAGAGAACTCCCCAATTGACAGCGATGCACCAAAGTGCGAGTAGAATTGATATGCCGAAGTATAAATCGGATCACGAAGCTTCGGTGCGTCCTGACTGAGCTTCAAAGACATTGGTTTCTCCACACTCGGAGGGTGCATGCCCGGGATGTGATAGCTCTCGGCGCCAAATCGATCCTTCGTGAAGGTTATCCCGCCGGGGTACTTTCTCATTCTCTTACCGGTCATCTTCCGTTCTCTATACTCGCCATGTAAGGAGCTGCCAGCACCCCCTCTTGCCTGAATCGCGCGGAAGACGTCGCAAACCCCCCAGCCGTTCATCAATTTCTCCTCTTTGTCTATCCCGAAGGCAATCCATTTTGTCAAATTTGCCCAGCAAGTAACTGACCTTGCGGCCATCTCGTTGATACCACCAAGGTAGTACCCGTCCAGTTCCGCTGTGAGCATTGGCGAATCTGACGCGACTGTATCATACCTACCTCAATCAGCCAGCCACTCCCCACCAGCTGTTGACAGGGGCACTCACAAGCTGGGCCCAACCGCCAACCCACTCTTCAGTGCTGCCAACCCCCGCATAGTACAATACCTCATAACAAAGCTCGAAACATCCCGCCCAATGCGTGAATAAATGGCTACAAGATCCTCGACAGGGACCCACCACCTATCCCCAATCCAAACTTTCCCGTCCTCCCCATTCCGCGCAATCCTAGAAGAAAGCACCACATCCCCGCCGAAATCCAAAACCCTATGCGCGGCAGCCTCATCCCCATCAAAGTCCACGCCCGCTAGCGCGCTTAGAAATGCCGTGGGGAGGCGGATAGCATGCCACGTCGCATCCGCCACCTGATGACTCGCAACGGCGAACACAAACCCAATAAGCTTCTCCAGATGCTCCTGCTCTTCCGGCGTGCGCTGCTTGGAGGTCAGACTGCCGTATCGAGAGTTTATGTGCTCGACGCTAGCGATGAGGAAGGGCGGCCAGTGCGCAGCTTCTGCATCGTCGTTGGTGTTGAGACATTGGTAGCCCCAGTCTGGAAAGAAGGCGCCTGCCTGTACGGACTCTGTGTGGATCTTTAGTAGTCGAGAGAAGACTCCCTGGTGGGTGGAGATATCCTCGTTCGAGGTCGGGAGGGCGAATACATCTGCGGAACGTTGGAAGACTTCGTTATGAACTCTAATAATTTCCGTGGCGGTAGTTATGATGGTGGTTAGTTTTTTTTTCCGGTGAATGAATCAAGGACGAAGATTTCCAGGGGCCAGAATGGGGGGAGGGGGAAGAGGGGGAGGGGGGGTAGCTTGTCTGCTACCCTACGCCGCTGATACTCACAAAACTCCGCAGGCACTCGCTAATCCGAGAAGCGATAGTCCTGCCAGCACTCTCATCATTGCGGACGGTATGTGAGTGAGAATAACAAAAAGGGATAAAGAAGAAGGAAATTGTATTCGATTATCTGTCAGGATAACATCAGATCTCGTCCAGTAGGTGCATTTAAGAGCTGAGGCCTGGGTCGAGGTGCTTATGGTCGGGCGTGGGAAGGAAGATGGGTTAAGGTTACACCACTCTGCACTTCACGTGCTGGAACATATTACCATGCAGTATCCTTCCAGCTTTGCTGCCGGGAGCCTCTTGCTCGCATCCGCCAAGAACGCACTATCTACTAAAAGGTTCACTATTCCCATCCCAGATCTTACAAGTGCAATACGATAATAATAAGCCCCTACGTTGTGGGGTGTCTGAAACCGACCTCAGAACCAAAATCGACAATAGGGAGGTTTTGCTGCGACGGTCGTCGCTTGGATCGTGCTAAAAGTCTCGGCAAAGTTCAGTGTGGCAATCGGTTTTTTTTTTCAGGACATTTTGCGGCGACTGTCGTAACTTGAACTCAACCCTACAGTTAAGTTAATCCTTGCACTTAACTCTTACCAACCCTGTCTACAGTCCTACATGGATATCAGAAACAAAGCCTTTCACCGAAAGGTAGTCTTGCTTTTTCTCCTTCTGATTGCTCACATTCATCTCATTCAACGAAGGCGAGTACAATTGCAAGTGGAGTCTGAGCGACAAGGGCGACTCCAGCCAAATCCATCTCTGTCACGGCCAATATCTTACCAGCCTCAAGTATTTCTTCTTGATACTTGTGGATGGAATGATGTTGACTTTAGAGAGTATTTCCGGTATGTTTTCTGACTCAGATATACTTTGCCTAGTACGGGGGTCAACGAGAACTATGAATTAAGTGCTAACAAGCTGGTGTTTAGCTTTTCAAAGGAAGAAATACGACGCATACTTCCATGCCTGCAGTTAGAGCAAGTCCAATGGCGCTACCACTTCCATCCACATCCTGAAGAAGCTTTATGTATCCTACTCTACCGACTCTCCTATCCACACCGTTTGAAAGATTGTCTTAAAATCTTTCAATGCTCGCGCACAAAGCTCTCGGTCATTTTTAATGACACCATCACATATCTTATTTCAAGATATGCTGAGACTCTCAGGTGGGATAAAAAGCGACTTACGATAACCACGCTTCAACTGTATGCACAGGCAATACAAAATGCTACAGGATTGAACGGAATTTGGGGCTTTGTGGATGGGACTATGAGACCATTTTGTCGTCTGGGTGAAAACCAAGGTACTTTTTATTCTGGATATAAGAAGTCTCATGCATTTAAATTTCAAAGTATTGTTTCTCCTGATGGTTTACTTTGTTCTTTGATTGGTCCAGTTCCTGGACCAGTAGGAGATTGGATAGTATAGAGATCTTCGGGAATTGTGGAAATCTTACAGAATATGTTTGAAGCAAGTGGGATATCAGAAGATGAAAGATTGTATGTATATAGTGATTCAGCATACGCACCTGCCTTTGGGGTAATGGGGCCATATGTGGAACGGGTTAATAAACTATTAACCATGGAGAAAGAAGCAGCTAATCTGGTTATGTCTGGTGAGAGAATTGTGGTAGAATGGGGTTTTGCACGAGTTGTTAATTATTGGGCATTAAATTCTTTTAAGTCAGGACTAAAAGTAGGACTTTCACCAATTGCGGGATACTATATGGTAGCTACTCTGTTAAGCAATATTCTATTATGTATTTCAGGGGGAAATCAGATTTCAGAAAAGTATCATTTGTCTCTTCCAAGTTTGGAAGAATACTTGTACATATTAGATCAAGTATAAAGGAAAAAAAAAAAAGCTATTTGGATTTTAAAATCCACAAAATTTCCACTGTATTACTTTGCACTTCCTCTAATGCCCTCTCCGTTGTTTCCAAGCGTTCCTCCACACTCCCAAGACGATTTTGTATTTCCTCTTTCTCAAAGATAACCTCCTGACCCACTTTCTCTGGAGTAGAACCGCTATCGGGGATCAGAGTATTTGCCACATGTTCAAGAACAGTAGTTAGACGACTACTTTCTTCCGCCAAACTGGTATCTAAAAGCTCACCCCATTCCCGGATTTTTCTTCTCTTCTCTCATAATCCTTTTGCTTTATCCTCCGAAGCTTTACCTGTATTCTCCTTCTTCTCTTCAGTTTCGGTATGGTGACTATCAAGGGCAACAATCGCAGACTCGTAATTTCTTTTTCCTTTCATCGTAGAAAGTAGTCCTTTCCGGCATGCTTCTGCAGCTTCTTGGTCTTTCAACTTTCTCGCTTTTGTAGCTTCTTCTTGTGAACTGTGACCTAAATTGCCTCGTCCATCTCCACTCTAGTAATATTAGCAATTTTTTTTCTTTTTTAATAGAAAAGTCTGGTATATAAGAGTATCAACCTACACTTTCTACCTGTGCCTTCCATTGTGCCATTGTTTGCTCATATTCTCCATCAGTCTGAGCAGTTCCACTTTCCTTTAAGTCTTGATGAACTTTAACTTCGTAATCGGCAAGTATTCGTGCCATTGTACTCCGAGGATTGCTCACAGGACGGGAGACTGCATTTGAGAACAATTGTTGAATCTTTAACCAAAACCGTTCACGTCCTCCCCGAATTGAAAATTCTCCTCCATGAAGTACACACAGTCGGGCAAGAAGAAGCTTCTCCAATTGACTATATCGATTACGTGGAGCAACTTGTACTGCAGGTACAATTTCAAGTTCAGGTGACTCCAAGGATGCCCGAACAGGCTGCAGAGATTCTCCGGCACGCTGTAAAGCTGCCCCAGCAGACTGTGAAGCTTCTCCAGAGGGCCATGAAGATGATTCTGTAGGTTGCGATAATAATCTGGCCGGCTCTGGGGAGGATCTGGTAGGCTGCGATAATGGCATTTGAAGCTTCGTTGAGGATAGACTCTGACCTGGATATGAAAGTAAAAGATTTTCATGTCAACAAACTAGTAAACATAACTCCTCGGCGACTGTCTTATTTAAGAACTGTTCTTAAGACTGTGCAAAGCTGAGCCACCAAGCGCTATCGCACAATTGGAAAGGTTAGTGCCGTTGCTGTGGTGAGAAGGAAAGTTCGCACGACGACCGTCGCAGCAAAACCTCCCTAATGAACCCTCAGCAACAACAGCAAAGTGTTTTTTTTCTTTTTTTCTTTTTTTCTTTTTTTCATTAGCTAATCTTTTATTACGTGATTATTGCCCGAGAACGGTAAGGCGGGCATTTTTGAGCCGTGGAAAAACCTGACACTTACGGATCTTTGCTAAAGTGTTGATTTTTGTATGCCACCACGCGAACAGTAGGTCGATTTGGAGCCCAGTAGTGCTCGAGCACCCTATACTAGTATATCATTGTATCATAATATTACCATTATGGTAGCAGATGGCAGATGGCAAATAAGTACGTACAAACACCTCATCACATCCTTACACAGGCAACCAAGTATGATACATCCCAGGCATCTAAACGGAATGCCTACTGCCAAGCTTCCAAGCAAACAGTGGAGTGCAGCACAAGTATTGTCACTGGTTGTCGAGTATTGAATTTCCTTCGGTTGGATTACGGAGATCACGGTTAATACGGCTAGCATGCCATTCAAGCTGCTTTCTTTGTTAGTATGGTGCGCTGTGGGTGGTGTTTGAAGGGCGTTGCCCATACCACACCATTTCTGTGCGGGTCTGCAGTTCTGTCATCCCTTGACCTGCCTTGCTTGGAGAGCGCCGTGCGAGTAAACCATCTCCCCCATGAGTGGGGTTCAATCAAACTCGCCGGAGGAAGTATAGTAGCAGTGCAGTTCGAGTTATGGATAAGACACGGGAGAGATATTGTAATGCCGAGCTTTTTTTGCTAGCCGGTTGCTCGATCGGGTAGTGTGCGGCCGAATCATGGGATATGACGGGAATTGGGTGCTGTTATAAGCTGTGGGATAGGGTGCTGGGATTGAGAAAAGGTTTAGTGGTGGTTTGGGTCCGGGAGTCCTCCTTGCTATATGATACTTTCATAGTATGATAGTGCACTAAGGAATATCGATCCTCCTACCGGTATGATAGTTCAAGCAGTCCAGCTTTTCCGGTTGCAGTGGTGTGTTCGACATTTTGCTTGGGATATTTTAGGACTATCGTATCTCTCCCGTGATATGCAATATTCGTATACCAGGATTTTCCTTTCAAAAGCTTTCCAAACACTTATCACTCCCCTCTTTTTTATGTGTCCACCTCTCACTTGTATCATCATCTGCATCACAGCCCCATATTCACCCCTCACACGCCCACAAAAACATAATCAACATACAGCCATAATAATAAAAGAGCAATACAAAGGGGAAAGAAACCCACATCATCTATCTACAGTTAATCACATCGTAATAATTTTAGCACAATTAAAAGCACATTTGACATTGTGTAATACTGAAAAAAAAAGGTTTCGCTCCAAGTTGAAACGATCCGGGAAGCGAGTCCACCAAACTACACTAAAAAGATCTCTTCCTGACGACAGTAGTACTAATATACTCCGTTGGGTTCCTATCATCTCCCAAGAGTAGAGCTCTCTTCACTAAGCCCGGTGTAGACTCACTCCTGCGAGTAACTGTGACTGTGACAATCTTAACCACCCTCCTATTCTGCCCTGGCGGAGGGCTTTGCCGCGGGCGGGGCTGGGGCGATGGAGACGGACTATTCCCGCCGCCGCCGCCATCGTTGTTGCTCCCGCCAAAATGGCCGTTCGCTAGGGATTCCGGCAGTTGTACGTCATTGCTTTTGTACGGCGGTACATCAACATTGATATCTGTAGGCCCCTTGAACGGTTGCCCCGGACGGCCAACGTTCTTCTCGTAGAGGTTTTCACTACTCATGATGATATTCCCTCGCGGCCGTATTCGCATACTATGAACCTGTGTACTCACATACTATCATCCATCGATTCCTTGGGGAGGAGGGAGAGAAAGAAAAACCTACCACATAGCCCCAATTTCAAAATTACACTTTTGATCACTCGTTGCAAAGGCCACTTTAACCGTGTCCTTCCAGGCGACCTGTGTATAATGCCCAATGACAGACCCATCCTTAGTCCTCGGCGAGTTCCCATCCCAGATCAGATTATCGTCCCTGTAGTTCTTGACTTCGTCCGCAAAGCCATCCACCGCAGCTGTGGGATAACCGCCGCCGCTACCGTACAAGTTCTCGCCGTAAGGCCCGTGAGAATGCTCGAAGATGCAGGACTTAGTCACGTTCTTCGCCATCTTCCAGAGCTCATTATCCCATGACAGCGGGGCCACGCCGAATTCTCTACGGCGAGTATTGTGCGCTCCCAGGATTTCCTTTTTAAAGCGTGGGAGATCGTTGTTGAAGTAGGGGTCACTGGGCTGGGGTGGGGAGTTTTGTGGAGAAGCGTGGCGGGGGTTGATTTTTGTGGGGAGGACGGTAGTGCTGGAGAGGAGGGCGGATATGAGGAGGAGGGGGAGGTGGTTCAGCATCTTTGCTCTGCTCTACTGGGGAGAGCGAGTCAGTGATTGAGGTTCTCAATGGGAATCTCTCTCTCCTCCATGGTGGAACTGACGGGATTAAGAGCTCTCGAAAAAGAGAGTAAGACCAGCCAGCTGGAGAGGTAGAGACACGGAAGAGCAGGTATGTAGCTAGCCCCCGCAAGGAGGGAGGTACGTAGCAGTTGTAGTACCCTACGGTATTCCAGCCACAGGTTATCTATCAATCGGTCAATTAGTAAACCGAAGACAAAATACGACAGAAAGAAAAAGCAAGAGCCCGACACAGTGGATGCCCTGGGTATGATACCACAGTAACCTCAACCTCCCCCAGCCACAAGCAAAGAGGGAAGAAAGAAGTGCTCAGGTACTGTACAGTATTGGATTCGTATGGCCAGTGGTGGGCGGAGCTGGGAGGAATGCACAGGCAAGGGATTCAAACCAATTAACGTAAGGAATGAGAGGGCGCACCAAAAAAGCGAAAGGATTTACAGTATTGTAACTACTGCATGATATGTAAGTGGGATAAAACAAGAAGAGCAGCAAGCTCAAGCCACCTGGGTGGAAGAAAAATAGAATAAGAAAAATAGAATAATAATAGAAAAAGTACTTCCAGATACAGGAAGAAGAGAAAGTGTATTTCCAATGGAAAGGGCGCAGAGAGCACAGTGAAAATATATACAGTACAACTTCACTTCCGCATTCCGCTGATTTGATCATGTTAAGTTCGGTATTCAGTTGATTAATTAGTAGAGGTTTCTGTAGTCGGATTTGTTTCATGCTTCGAGAACTACTGCACTACCAACATTCAGATATGAGTACCCGGTACCTGCGTGCCGAGGGAAACGTAAGTTGTGCTACACCGGACGTGGTGGGCGTAAGATTGTAGCAGGATTTATCGGCGGAGCCTGCGTTCCCGGGTGTATTTTTTGCTATACCCATCCGTGCTACCTCCCTCCCGGCGGGGTGTATGTGGATGTTGCATTACGAAAGGATGAGTTGGACTTGAATCCTTCCGTGTCTCCTCCTCTGCTAGTGGCGGTGGTGGTGATGGGAAGGCATGTTGTCTCTGCCGCTGGCATGTTCACCCGCTCGTCTGCCCCCGTCCGTCCGTTCGCATTATTGAGGGAAACTCGATTGACCTCCCTTCCCCTGGCTATCGCCAGTACCGAAACCGGCTGCTTGATAGAAGTGCATCTGAACCCCAACAGCATATGCCAAGTGTTGTGGAATACATCACCCCCGCTTAATACGGGGCTTTGTCTTGTGGCGATTGGGCGGCTACGAGTAGTTGAGGTTCCTCCCGCGAACTAGAACATGCAGATATTTCTGCCTGTGCGATGGCACTTTTTATGATTGCGTGATATCTTTGGCGCGGTACGGCATGCTTTGGCTGGCTTATGCATATCGGTATCGTATCATACCTGCACAATACGAGTCCAGTGCCGGGTGTTCTATTGGGAGTAAGTAATAGCCCTAACCCACCCACTTCCTGCAGAAGACCCACGGGGTATGTATCATAGTAGAGATAACCTCACAACACCACTGGAACTGGCCATGGGTCTTCTCACAGCCCATTCCGGTAAAGCATACCCCGGCCATATTTTTTTGCTGTGCTTTTTCGGTTTTTCTCTTCCCAACCGCGAAGCTAGCTTACACCGGACGGGGCCCTCATCGCTCCCTTCACACAAAACTTAAAAAGGTCTCCTAAGTTCCGCTTACTTGTGAGAATGAAAGTTTATAACATTGTGATGACATGAGAGGGTGCCTTCTCCAGGAGGGAGCATTGTTTATCACTGTTTTGAGTTGTAACCTGGGTTGGCTAATGTTATGATGTCGCGAGGTTTTGTGTTCCGTGTGGTGGTTGAGTTTTTGGTTATCGGTACGAGAAGATAGTGTCTGAAGAACACAGTAGTCTGGGAAATAAGGCAGGCCTGATGTCGCTGAGTGATATATGCCGGGGAACCAGCCTGACTGTGCTAGGCTGATTTAGAGTGGGGCTAAATGCTCTGAAGTTCTGATCGCCATGTGTGATGAAGAGTGATGGCTGGTGGGAAAGAGTTGACGGATTGGATAACAGTGCCATAGGCAAGCTATCGTATGTAGGCGGCAAGTATGATACAAGTACCGTAGACTCCGGTCCGAGTTGGTCCTTACCGGACTAGCGAAAAACAGGCGAGGGGCAGCTCTGGCGGATGGATCGGTGGATAGATGCTGGGTGTTAGGCCTTGTAGGCGTTAGATGGGCTTAATGGTTAGCGAGATACCGTATGTAACTCGAGTGGCACAAATACAGACTCCAATGCTGTCGGTACTTGTACGGCAATGTAACATCCCCTCTAACCGGAGTTCCACGTTCCGTTCCTCGTGTGAGGCATCCTATGAAAGTCCATTTATCTCTGCAAACATCCGGGTTAATGTTGGGGGAGAGGTATATAATATAAGGCGACAGCAAAGAGGGAACATATAAATGCATTTTTGAGGGCATTGAGTAATCTGCGGGTGAAAAAAAAAAGTGATGGAATGAAACAATAAAGTGACGAATTCCGCCTTCTTATGATATCTCTTTGACAGCCCCAATATTGTCCCAAATTTATGCCCTTTCAATGGACAACCCTGGAACCCCTTGCGAGAGCAAAGTTGCCCAACACCTCCACAAGGCAGGAGTTTAAGTTAGATTACATATGTCTCAAGCGCCCGTGAACTTTAATCTTGAGTGGGAGAGAGTGAAAACTGGTGTGGTTAGGGGAGTGGAGGCCTGAGGGAGGCTGAATTAAGAAATTAAATACCGGTAGAATCTATCTCCACTACCGTACCGGTATGATATTTCCCTTGATCAACCATACACCTCTTCTGGTGCCTTGGCCCACCCGCTCCTAGCCCTGCAAGCCTCGGGGTACAGGTCGCGCTTGATAGTGATGGATAACCCCCCGCAGGGCTCTTTTTCCGCTCTCTCCTCCTCGCTCACATTTTGGGGAGAGACATTAGGCTGTGAATACTGCAATTCTTGCATGACCGAGGCGAGAGCCTTCCTTTGCAGTAAACCGTATACCGGTATACAACCAGGAGGAGCCTACAACTTGAAGACATCGTGATCAACACGTGGGGGGAGGGGGAACAACTTTCAAAGGTGGCAGTGAACATCCGAAGATTCGTCACTCATAGCCGACTCATTCACGACAAAGGGGGCTAAAATAAAAATAAAAGTAAGACCGATGTTTTTACTCGGTGCGTTCCTCCGTTCCCGGGCTTCTTGCCTTCCTTTTTGCTATGTTGTTCACTACAGTACCCGCTCACTTACTGTGGTATGATATGATATAGGCGGTGCGCCGTGCTGCGCTTGAACTCTTACCCTGCAGCCGGGAGAACCCTGGGAATCAATCGCCGACTTTGACTTCCTCTCGGCATCCTCACCCAACACCACGTTCTCGAAGGGTTTTGCCTGCGGACTACCGGTAGGCTGTGGTGCTGTAGTGGTGAAGCGCTGTTCTTGACATTTGACACTTCATATTTACATAGCCCCAAACTGGAGTAGGCCAGACCACCACATGATGCAGAATGCGGAGCACGGTAATTGCCGTAAAGAACCGGACTTGGCCTGATACAGAAGATATGCTAGTTGCAGGAACCTGCAGACTTCCAGAAGGTGAAGAGAGGATGAAAGAATCACCCTCTCTACTCGAGTAGAGTACTCGGGAACAGTGCTCGAGTAACCTGGTGTGATATAGGGCCGAGTTTCCTTTGCCATTAGTGGCATGACCTCGGCACAAGGGTTTAAGCGTTACACTCCAGAACTGTAGATTGTATACCGGCATATCAGAACCACAACCTCGAGCCCCGTGCAACATTTAGTGGACTATCATACTAAGCCACTCGCGCCTTTTTCGCAGACAACACAAAGTATGATACCGGTAAGGAAGGGAAAAAATAGAAATCATTTCACTACGAGTTGCTAGAGTTCCCGAGGCATTGCGCGCCACCTAATACAACGCTCACAATCAGCATCCAAACTCCACGCATTGATGGATGATTCATAGACCACTCCCTCCTCCCCGAACTCCCACCTGCGTTTTTCTGCCTTCGCCAAGACGCTCAAGCCACCACATGTCACCCGGGGACAAGACGGACGACAACGCCGGCTGGCACTGGTGTGGGCGAACCACGATAATCAGGAGAACAACCTGAGTCTGAATATCCGCTCGCACCACCCCCTTCAAACCATCACCAGGAAAACTTGATTCATTCTGGCCCTTTGCTGGAGGAAGCAAACAACTACGAAAAACGAAACGGAAAGAGGGAAAAAGAAGGAAACATCAGACGAAAGAGTCCTTCTCAACACCGCGCGGGGAAACAGCGAGAGTGAGAATTTCGAGGCATCCGACCACCCTTTAGGCATCCAGCGAGAGAGCGGTTCGACGAGGGATATGATAGGGAAATAGAATTTTACCCTCAGCAAAAGTGCCCTTTAGCGATCGAATCGAAGGAGACCCTAATCCCTTGCTCCACCATCTTGACTTCTTCTATTTCTATCTATGATAAACGTCCGCGACTTCTTCTGTTGCCAAGTTTTTTTTTGTTGAAGTGAGGCACGCCGACAACTGCCACCACAACCACTACGTCTAACTCACATCTAGACTACTTCTACTTCCACCACCACCACGCCCCCTCCGCTACCATAACTGATTGTCACTATCATCGGCAAAATTATGAACTCGGTCATGTCACCTCCAGCTACAAAACCACCCCGCCGTCGCGGTCCCAGAGGAAGCAGAAAACACGGTAATAACACTAGCGGAGACCAAGATGTCACCAATCGCCAACCAACCGCCAATCACTCCTCGGGCACTCCCCGCTACACCCCGTCAACGGCCGCCCCTCCCAGCGCTCCTCAGCGCCAGCTCTACATTCCACCCCCGCGCACCCCTTCCATTCCGAAGGTCCAAATCTTGAAGCCCTCCACTGCACCTCCTGCACCCCCTCCCCCTCCCATAGCTCCAGCCGCCAGAACCACTTTGATGATCCGTGAGCGGCAGCCCCCACCAGCACCAATTCAAACCCGCCCCCCGCCCGAAACCGCCACCATCGCCGTGGTGGACGATGACCACGGCAACGACAAATCCTCCCTCCCAGCATCACCACCACCACTTGCGTCCCCGAAACCAGCACCTGCGCCGCCCCCACCACCACCTTTTGAAACCCCAGATCACAAATCCCTAATCCGGGATCGCCAGGCCCAGATAGCCGCATACCTATCTCGCTGGGACGCGCTTTTCGCTCTCGCGTCAGCAAAAGATGCTCACGATGCTGAACCAAATTCTGGAAAGCGCTTGCCCTGGCCCATTGAGAATAACAGTGTTGACGGCGCGGGGTGGAGACCTTGGGGGGAGTACTTGCACACGGGACATGGGGGGACTTGAAAGATTTTACCCTATTCTCTTCTCTTTTCTTTTCCCCACCCGATAACTTTATGGAGGAAATTTGATTGATTGACCGGCCGGTTTTTTACTTTTGAGAAATGGCTTGGAGTTTAACTCGCCGTGCGAAGGTTAAGAAATGGAAGGAAGGGAGGGAAATGGGGTGGTGGAATGACGGCTTCGAACACGGAAGGCGTTCGTTTTCTTTACACTGAGTGGCTCGGGAATTACAATGAACCGTGGACCGCGGCGGGGAGTGTAGGGAAGGGAAGTGGTGGGAACGGACATTTCTTTGCAGTGATGGTTCTTTCTTTTTCGGTGATGATGCGCGGGGTTGATTTGTTTTTTGTTGGAGGTTGGATTGCCCGGGGAACGATGAGTGAGTAGGGATAGGCAGGAAGGGAAGGAAGGTTGGTTTATCCTGACGAGCTCTGATTAGAGATCGGATGCGTGTGATGATTACAGCGCTGTGAACGTGTTAGTGGCAGGAGGTGAGGGAGGAGGAAGCTGTTTACTCCTTATGCTCTTACACCTTATAACTCCTCCGCACATGTCATTTCGGAAATCGCATACCACTCGCACCGTCGTAGCTAGCTAGCGTATCATACTACACTAAACTGTACAACTAAAAATTCAGTTCTCATCCTATTTTATTTCTACGGTACTTTATTTTTATATATGATTTTTTTGTTTTTCAATGTGAGCACCACTAGGGAGGTTCTGCATTGGGGTGCGCACGACAACAGGGTGGTGCATGTGCGGAAATGGTGCATCAATTCTAGGGGGGTTCTGCTTGTTGCGCAGTTCAATCGTGAGAATGACAAAACAAAACATGTGACTTCAGTTTGTTTATCATGTGTCTCCTGCTCACCCGCTCAACCCACCCTTATTCTAACATCAATGTTACTATCAACTTAAAACTCATTTTGGTTGTCTATTCTATTCTTATTTTTTTTTTTTTGAGACCTTGGTGTTTCTGTCAGCTTGTACGCACGCTGGATTTCAGAGAGTTCCTACCTGGAGGCTAGGAGGATTTGTGTTGCGACTCGGATCCAGGTAGGTATAGTTGAATCCTTCCACTGGTTAGGAATTGAGTTAAAAGTTTTACTGACATTAAGGAGTTATAGAGTATTCTCTTAAGCTGGTGGTACTATGATGAGCAAGATGAATGAGTCCCATGCTGGTAGGAAATTTGGACTAGATTGAGCAAAGTTCTTGGAAAAATGTATTGTATTAGGAACTTGTCTCTTATAATACATTTACTGAGAGTAACAATTACTAACAGTAAATTATGAGACTAGGAAACTATGAAAGTCTCAGAACTAGTACTGCAATTTTCTGAGTCTGAGTTTGTTCCAGCAACTACCTACGTACTCCCTCCATTGTCCATTCATCCTACGTTCCCCCCCATACTCTCCACCCATTCTGGATTTTCCATGTCCTTCACGCCTTCCACAATTTCCATCACCTCTACAACTCCGATATCCTCCACACTTTCTACAACATCCACGTTTCCCATTCTATCCTGATACTTTATGTAAGAACCTTAAATCCAAGGAACTACCCAATCACTACCAGGTACCAATAAACCTCATACTATTCTGAAGGATGATGACTCTCAAGCCTGCTTGGTCCAACTTTGGGGTAACCATTTTCATCTGTATATAAAGGTTAAGGGAAAGTTTTATGAGTCAAATATAGAGAGTTGTATGGCATTAATGTTAATGTTGAAGGCTTTATTCAAAGAAGGGAGGCAATGAGACGATCTCAACTTCAGGATGAGAGGGAGAAAAGTGGTGTTGCACGTGCTGATACTGACTATAATTAAGCATTGGACAAGTGGATTGAGCTTTATGATGACCATGAACGGTTGATCAAGGAGCAAAAGGCAGAAACAGAATCAAAAGTAGAAGCTGAAAAAAGAGAAGCGATTTAGACAAGAGAAGATATGATATACAGCTTTGCTAAAAAGCGGAAGCAAAGATCTGATGAGTTGGAGGGGCCAGTAGGATTAGAGAATCACAGTAGGTGTAACGATCCCCTTTCAGATAGTTAGTTCTTGGCGACGGAGAATGATACTTATCTTTCCTTTCCCTTTCTTTCCTTGTCTTACGATAGCTCTAGGCCTCTGCCTATGTCACTGATAGTACAAGACCTCTGTCTTCTATCGGAAACACCTATTGTAAGCTTTCTCTAACTCGTCTTCGTAACAAGTGCTTCTCCGCGTAACGATAATGTTGCAATAAGGATAAAGATCGTAAAGGTGTTTTATATTCGTTAAAGTTCTATGTAGGAAAAGTACTTAGAACAAAGTGTGAAGAACCTATCTTCCTCGGCCGCATCGGCCTCCTTATATAGTGTTCTTCCCGCCTTTAATCATGTGACCTAAAGTGGTCACATGTGTAAAACCAAATCAAAACAAACTAGTCATGTGACCAAAGTGATGACATGCTCAAAACCCATGACCTTATAGCGAGGTCATGTGCGAAACTCATAAACCAATCATAACGCAATAAACAAGTCATATGACTCGAGTGAGTCATATGCATGAAACTCATGACATCATAATAAGGTCATGTGGGAAACATAAATCATATGCGTAAGGCTTATCCGCAAGGTACACTCGCAAGGCATACTCGTCAGGTGCATGTCCCATGACTCATATTTGAGCCATGTGTCACAGACGTGACTTAGTAAGGAAAGGGTTTTCACGTGACACAGGGTTATGAGTCACAGGTATGTTATTGTTTCACGCATATAACCTATTCGGGTTGTATGATTAGTTATGTGTGGGATTTGTGATGCTTTCGCACATGGCTCGATTATGAGTCATAGGACATGCGCCTGACGAGTATGCCTTATGAGTATGCCTTACGGGCAAGCTTTGCGTATATGATTTATGTTTCGCACTTGACCTTATTATGATGTTATGGATTTCGTGCATATGACTCAGTCGAGTCATATGACTTGTTTATTGCGTTATGATTGGTTTATGAGTTTTGCACATGACCTCGCTATAAGGTCATGGGCTTTGAGCATGTGAACACTTTGGTCACATGATTAGTTTGTTTTGATTTGGTTTTGCACATGTGACCACTTTAGGTCACATGATTAAAGGCGGGAAGAACACTATATAAGGAGGCCGATGCGGCCGAGGAAGATAGGTTCTTCACGCTTTGTTCTAAGTACTTTTCCTATATATTACTTTAACGAATATAAAACACCTTTATGATCTTTATCCTTATCGCAACCTTATTATTACGCCAAGAAGCACTCGTTACGAAGATAAGTTAGAGACAGCTTACGATAGGTGTTTCCGATAGAAGACAAAGGTCTTGTACTATCGATAACATAGGCAAAGGCCTAGAGCTATCGTAAGACAAGGGACAGAAGAAGAAGAAGAGGTAAGAATCGTTCCCCGTCGCCAAGAACTAACTATCGGAAAAGGGATCGTTACACCATGTGCGAAAGCATCACAAATCCCACACATAACAAATCATATAACCCAAATGAGTTATACATGCGAAACAATAACATACCTGTGACTCGTAACCATGTGTCACGTGAAAACCTTTTCCTCGCTAAGCCACATTCGTGACAGTAGGAGGACCGCTACTGGAGAGGATACTGACCCTACCTCCGGTAAGTATAAAAATCTTTCCATAAACTACTGTTATTGTTATAAAACCACTAATTTAATATTAATAGATAGTGATACTACTATAATAAAACCCTTTACCTTGAAGCGACAAATAACAAGTCAGATATTCAGCTCAATGAAGGAAGGTGACCAAGAAACTTTACGTTCACTAAGGGATATGCAAGCAGAGCAGATGGACTGCTGGGAGCATATAATCAGGAATGTAGTGGGAGTAAGTTCAGAATTGGAATGGTCAAATGAGTCATCACAGCCAATAAAAAGACTGGAAGAGAGAATTCAACAGATTGAGGAGCAGTCAGGAGAAGTTAAGGAAAAACTTAATCAGGTTCTTTAATGGCATCAAAGTTTAGTAGTTAGAATATAATACTTATTCTTTTGATAATTTAGTACAAAGATACTCTTTAATACTAGGAGGAGAACAGACAAAAGTATCTGCAGTATTTGAGCCATAATAATATGTATGACAATTTGTTTACAAAACTCCTGTGAAATACCATGTTGCAATTAGTGAAAGTCCTACTTTTAAACCATACTTAAAACCCAAAAATGTAAAATATTGTAAAACCTTTCTGAAGCCCCACTCAACAGACATTCTTTGCTTTGTCATATAGGCATTAAAAACTTCTTTTTCCTGACTTAAAACACTGCCAGCTGGTGCTGAAAATGTACCAATGACTACAGTTTCAACTGAGTATGCAGCATCACTATAAACATAGAGCTGTTCCTCAAATACATTTCTTCCATACTGACTCAGTACTTTTCCAATTCCTGAATTAACCCATATTGCCCAATCACCTAACTGTCCTTCCCATGGTCCAGATAGGCTTGCAATTAACCTATCTGGAGTGGTATTTACCTGAAACTTTATCGTATGTTGTTTTTTGCAGTCACTGTAAAATAGTGTTTGATCAGCGATTTCTGATTCAGGTTGGCAAATTGGCCATTGGGTTCCATCAATAAACCCCCAAATCAGGACAGTTGGTTCCCCTTTATTTGCAATTGCAGTGTAATATTTTTCTAACCGTTGAGGCGATAGGAACTCTGAATCCCTGTGAAGCTTTCCAGCAAAATATTGGTATAGGTGAGAACATACATCGTTAAATATGGTGGAAAGCCACCCATGCTTGTGACCAAAATGCTAATTCTTTGCTTCAGGCGACTCAGATAAGACAATCTGTGGAGAGTAACGGCGGGGGCAGTAATGGGGTTGGCACGATAGTGGTAATGGAAGGTATCCGGTATTCGTAACAGGTTTGCAAGCTCTATAATTTGAGCTTTATTGAACCTTAAAAACTCATTACACCAATCATCAGTTTGGTCTTCAATACTCCAATCAAACTGCTGATATGGTATTTTTCTTTTTTGTGAATAGTTTTTAAGGACTCTTGTAGGACCGGAAAGTAAGACTTGAACAGTTTTAGACTTTCATCTTTGGTGGAGGATGATTGAATTTAAGATTTTTCTTGTATTAAGATCTGCTGCCGCAGTAACAAGGAGGATAGTTGTGACTTGTGGGATGTTCAAGTTCATCGTAGGATATTTATCATAGGTGATGTTTGTCTCTACACACTTACCTGTTGTTGTATAAGCTATGCCTTTATTACCGTATCCTGACTAAGAAAACCTCTGTTTACTATGTAAACACATCTACATCACCTCTGCACGTACATGGTGCAAAAATTAGTGTGCATTATAAAAAAAACCATCACCAGCCACTTTTGCCACCCCATTGCTGTGGAAACGTGGTGCGCACCTTGGTGCA